GGGTCGCAGCTGCCTCTGGAAGGCCGAGATCCGGGCTCTCCAGGGACCTAGCTCCTCTCCGGCCCTGGCTCGCCCCGACTCCTGCTCACGGCCAGCTTGTTGGGCAAGGCGCGTGTGTGTGGGCGGTCCCCGACTCTTCGGTCCGGTATGTACCTATATTTCCGAAAAAATCCCAGATTTCCATACAGAGGTTGTTTGCTGCTCCAGCGGGGGGGGGGGGGGGGTCCCGTGTCATTCGGGCCTCGTCACGATTTCGGTCTCGTCTCGTCCATTTTGAGACCCCTTCGGTGGCAGTGGACGGCCCTTGAGCCTTCGCCGCCCGCCTCTCCTCCTACTCCATGTGCGGAAACTTCGGCCTCCTGCTCCTCCTCCCCGCGCATCGCCGCGCGACGCTTCGCCTGCTGCGCAAGATGCTACGCATCACCATGATACGCGGGGCGCAGTCGGCTGGGATAGCGACGTACGATCGCTCCGGCGTGGGCTTGCGCTGCAGAGTCGTGAATGGCAAGCGGACTGACCTCGAGGACGTGCTGTTCAAAAGGTTTTCGCGCTCGTACGCCGACATGACCTGCGGTCTGTTTCAGGGCCACACCCGCTTCGCAACGTCTTCCGTCTGCAACATCGCTGGCTGCCACCCGCATCAGTGGCTACCGCGATCAAAGCAGATGGCGTGGAGGCTCGCAACAAACCCAGCCTACCGCTTTGTTTGCGAGCGCCGCAGCGTCGAGAGCTTCATCACGCACAACGGCGACTGCGACGCCTTCACCATCCACGGCAACACTTATGCCATCGCAGACCTGCAGCTCCTCCTCGTCCGCCTTCTGGGCCACCCGATTCCGAGCGACGTCGACTCTGCGTGTGTGGCAGGCCTACTAGACATGCTACGAACCAAGGGCGTCTGGCTGGCCTCTGTGCGCTATGGCTACCTTTTCGGCGCCCTTTCGACCGCCGGATCCCTGCACGGCCGCTGCCATGAGCTCGCGAGCGCCGCACAGCTCGAACAGCTCGCCGATGCCTTCGAGAAGCAGTGGCAAGCGCTCGTTGCGTCGAACGAGGAGCTGACCGCCGCTTCGCAGTGCACGCGCGCCTCCAGCGGCACGGCAGACGCCGCCTCCGCCGAATGCGTCCTCCTCGAGGCGCTTGGCAAGAGAATGGTGGAGCGCATGCAGGAGCGTTTCGCAAATGCCCCGCTAGCCGGCATGCTGCCGCTGCTGCAGGCCGAGCTGTCACCTGGCAGCGGGCGGCAGCACACGGGAGAGGCGCAGTGGCAGCAAGCCGCGGCTGTTCGGCTCATCGAGTGTGCCGTCTCCGCCTTTCTCTTTGGTGACCTGCTGCGTGCTGCGCTCGAGCTGCTGCGCGGCGCCGATGGCTCGTTCGGACTCGTGCTCTCAAGCTCGCTCGATGCGGGGCGCGAGGTGGTGGTCGCGGCTCGCGGGCAGACGATGTCGCTCGCCTTCTACCCCCGGCGCGGCCTCGTCGCGTTCGGCTCGGAGGCGACAGCCACAAAGGTGCCGATGCAAGAGGACGTGGTGGGGGGGGCCGACCAACCGGCGCAACCGGCGTACCGCTACGACCTCGACGATGTGCGCGGGGAGACGGTGCTACTCAGATGGGACGAGCCGCCGCCGCCGCAGCCCAGCCCGCCTCCGCCTTGGCAGACGGCGCGCATCTGTTGCGCGGGTGAGCCGCGCACAGCCGCGGAGGCCTTCCGATACGATCCGGCCAGCGTCAGCGCGCCTGCAGGCGCCGCCGCCGCCGCGTCCCTGGACCCAGAGGCAGGCTCTGTGCGCTCAAGTAGCAGCACCGCACGCAGCCTGTTTGTCGTCAACGTGCTGGACCGTGACGCTGACGGCAGTGGCGGCGGCGAAGATGCGCTGCCACCAATGTGGAGGGGTAGATTAGCGCTCAACGCCAACCCGCTGCTCAGTCCGCCGCCGCCGCTGGTCGAGAAGGACCCTGTTGGTGCCGACTTGCGCGCCATCCCTGCGGTGCTGTCGCGCCTGAACGCCGATTTTGACACGGAGCAGCCCTCACCGAACCGAGTCGCTGCGTGGACGCTTACGAGTCAGCTGCGCCGGCGGCTGCGGATGCACCGCGACGGCGCACACGACGGCTCAGTCGACGTCCTGATCACCGGATGCGAGGTGAGCCTATGGGTGGGCGAGCAGTTCGCGTCCGACTTGCAGCTGCTCTACCCAAAGCTGTCGATTGTGGTGCTCTCCTCCAACAAGCTGCTCGGGCAGCTCGGCAACGCGATGCCCATCCCACAGCTCGGCCACCGCTTCAACGAGCGCTCGCACGACTTTCGCGGCACCGTGGCCCTGGTGTTGACTCACTCGGGTTCGACGTTTGCGCCGCTCGCGTGCTGCTCGCTGCTCAAGGGCTACACCGAGATGCTCTTCGTGGTGACGTCCGACCTCGATACACAGGCGGCAGCCGTTGTGCGCACCTCGGGCGCGTCGGCGTCCGCAAAGGCGAGAATCGACAGCCTGGGCTCAAACGCCCCGCCCTTCCTCGACCTCGAGTCGCAGTTCGTTTTCACCACCCATGCGGGCTTTCGGTCTGCCGAGCCGTGCTCGGTCTCACTGGTGGCGATGCACCACCTGCTCACAAAGCTGCTCATTTTCGCCATGGCCTACCTCGCGCACTCCGAGCACCAAAGGCGCCTTGCTGATGACGGCGGCATGCGTGGCGACGACGGCGATTACGATCATGTATCGATCTGCGGCTCGTCCTTTACGTTTGAGGAGGCGCGTGAGCTGGCGACGCTCAGTCGGCAACAGCCCGCGGCGATCGCCGAAATCGTTGGGACCACGCAAACGTCGGCCGCGCTGCGCCGCCAGGGGAAAGTCTGGGCGCAGCACGGGGGGCCCCACCCTGACGGCCCCCCCCCCCCCCCCCCGCCCCACCCCCACCGACTCACAAGCACTGACACATACACACCCTCCCCACGGCACCGCCCTGCTCCCCCTCCCCCTCCCCGACGCAGCTTGAGGGACCGATTGCGTGGGTGCTTAGCGTCGTCTACATCGCGGCGACCGTGATAGCAGGAGTGACCCCCCTGAGCGCCCTATGCAGCCACGCTACTGGCAACGTGTCGCCCGCGGCCGTCTACGTCGTCGCCATAGCCGATGTGGCCATCTACGCCTTCCTCGCGTGGTGGACGACCGTAGTACTGCGACTGCTGCAGGGGCGGCCGTTGCTGCACCGCGTGGCCGGCCGATCAGTGCTGATTGGCGACGTGCCATGGGTGTCACAGGCGGCGGAGGCTTTTGCAAGCAAGCTCTTCGCTCTCTCCTACTCGATCGCCTCGTGCTCGTTCGCCTCCGCTAACCCGGCAGACCACCTTGTACACCGACACACGCACCGCGTTGTGCGCGGCTCGCTGCTTGCAATCGGGCGACCGGACGGGCGCGTCAACGCCCTCACGACGGCGGAGGCGGCGTGTGTCCTCTCGGTGAATCAGGCGTCCTCGATACAGAACTTGGGCGTGACGTGTGAGAGCGTGACGCTCGGTCACAACCCGTTCGAACTGCCGCTCTCCGCGAAGCACCTTGTGCTGCCGACGCATCGCCCGCGCTTCATGTGCGAGGTCATGCGAGAGGTAGACGGTGTGGCATCGCCCGCCTCCTCGAGGGCCTGTTCACTCCCGCCCACGCCGAGCACTTCGGTGCACGGCGGATGCGCCAAGGCTCTCAATGCCGATGGCCACGCTGGTCGCCACCGCAACTCGCGCGACGCATCACTGCACGGTGGTTGTGCGCGCTCGCGTGACGCCTCAAGCCACGGCGGCTGCTCACGAGACGCGTCGTCTCACGGCAACTCCTGGCTCACCTCCTGGCTGTCGCAGCCGTCGGTGGAGGGCTATGTGCCACGCCAGACACTCCTCGGGCAGCTCACGCTCGGCGGCGACCTGCCCGCAGAGCGGCCGCGGACCGCTGCAGTCTCACTGAGCGAAGCTGCTTGTGCGGCTCTTGCTGCCTCCTCGTCAGCTTCCAATCGACAGCTAGCACCCCTGTCAGAGAGCAGGGCGTCGGTGAGCATGGACGGCCGGGCGAAGCTCCGCTCGCTCGTGGAGCGCGTGCATGCAGACGTGCGGAGGCGGAGGCGGTCGCTGCGGTCGCACGGGCTAGAGGAGCTCTCCATCGGGCGGAATACGCACAGCAGTGGCGGCGCCGACTGCGCGCCCAGTGTGATGAAGGCGACGTTTACGCAAGTCGGCCGGCGCAGCCGCAAGCACTTCGAACGCGCAGCCGGCCGGCGCGACGCCTTTCCGCTCGCGCGCACAAGCTTTACAGTCGAGCCGCTGGCGGAGCCCTACCTTGGCGCGTGGATGGTGCGCCGCCCGGACTTGGCCACACTCGGCGTGGATGAGCTGATGCGGCGGCAGCAGCTGGTGCAGGTGCTGTCGGAGACGCGCTTCGACGCGTTGCAGCGCCTCTGCGCCTTCTTCGTGATTTTCCACGAGATGGGCAAGACGGTCGCCGACTGGTGGCCAAGGCACTCACTCGGCCTGCTCGGCTACGACATGAGCCGCTCGCAGAGCATCATGCGTGTGGCGACGACTGCTTCGCCAGTCTCGGGGATGGAAGTGCGAGAGCGCATGCTGGCCATTCGCCTGCACACGCAAAGGGCGCATGCGGCAACGCGCATCCAGCGTGCGCTGCGCCTCAAGCGATGTGTCCAGGCGAGGGCGCGCGTTGCCTTGTAGCGGGGGAGCTTGACGACGACGACAGGGGATGTGGATGAGTGTGTGTGGGGGGGGGGGCGAGGGCGGGGCGGGGGGGGGCCGCGCCGATTGCGGGGCCCGACTTCCCCTCCTAGCCCTTTTCGGTTGCGGCCCCGCCGCCGTCTCGTCTCCTCTGCGTGATCCTGTTGATTCCGCCGACGGCGATCCCGTGCCCGACTCCCCGGGCGAGAGGGCGGCGGCATTGGGTCGTGTCGCCTCCCTCCCTCGGGAGGTCGAGCCGCCTCTCCCTGGTCGACGAATCGCGCCCGCACCCGCGGTCTCTCTATCGTACTCGGCTCGCCCCCTCCTTCCGCCGACTCCTCGTCGAGCTCGGGGAGGCGTGGCCCCCCTTGTCGTAGTTCACGATGGTCCGGTTGCCGCCGCGACGGGTCTACCCCCGGCGAGCTCGTATGCCCCGACTCCACTCGCAGAGGCCTAGTCAGCTCGTCTCTCACCTCCTCCGACAGTTGACTCCAGGCCTCACCCGGGGCCCTCCGGTCTTGGCCTTCCGGTTCGCCGGCAGACCCGCTGTCGTCTCGCGGCACCTCCCCTCCCTCGGTCCCCTCCCTCGGGTAATCCAGCCTCCGACGGGGCGGTTCCGGGTTCCCCAAGGTCCGTGTGGGTCCGAGCGGTGACGGCCACGCCAGCGGCGGGGGCGGAGGCGGTGGCGGGGGGGGCGGGTACGGTGGCGGTACTGGCGGCGGCGCAACACCTGGTGTAGAGCCTCGGGGGCGGCCCCATGACCCTGCGGCCGTTCCAGCCGCGGCTCCACGCGCCGATCGTCTACCGCACTCCAGGGGGGGGGGGGGGGGGACTAGCCCTTGCTTCCCCACGAGGAGGGAGGGGGGCAGGACGCGGACTCGCCGCTGGCCCCGCCTCTCCTCCCCTTCGCTACACACACACACACACACACACACACACACACACACACACACACACACACACACACACACACACACACCGCTCACCCACGCGCACCGGGCCTTGCACTTTAAATGCCGTGGGGCTCCTGTCGTTAGACGTGGAGACGCGAGGGTTGCCCCCCCTTGCCCCACCACCTCGTGTGTGTGTGGAGAAGTTTACCTTACCTTACCTTACCTTACCCTTCGCTAGGTCGTAGGCTGTGCATCAGTCGCGTCGCTTCCTCATTCGCCCGATCTCCCTCGATCCACTCCCGCACTGCCCGAATATCGAAGGCCGAGTTGTGTTCGGACAACGGGCCCGCCGACGCCACTCGCCTCTTCACACACAGCAGGCGTGTGTATGCCATCATCGCCTGCCCCCCCGACGGTGTCGGTCCTGGTGAATGTCGTTGACGAGGTAGTCCTCCCCCCCCCACCGGAACACCCGCCCAAGAAGATCCGTCGAGCGAATACTGGTGGTTTTTCTTTGCGCGCCGCCATATGTGCTCATGTCGCTTATAACCAACGGCATCGAAGCCACCGCTCGCTCAGTCGTTGAGCGCTTGGGCGAGATCCGCGAGGAGGCATCGCGCCACCTGCTCGCGCTGCGCAGCCAGCTCGACGGGCTAGACTCGCAGCTCGCTGCGGCGCAGTCCTCCCTCCAGCAGGCGAGCCTCGAGCCTCAAGCGCATGATCTGCAGCTGGAGCAAGGCTTGCGTCGGCTCGCCGACTGCCGCGCTCGAGTCCTGGCCGAAACGCGCGGAATCGACGGTCTTGTGCATGCGCACGAATCGTCACGTTTCGCCGCGCCGCTGCCGCCGCCATCACCGCCACCGCCGCCGCCGCCTCCTCCTCTGCCGCCGCCGCCTCAGCAGCCACCTCCACCACAGGGCACATCGAGTGGCGAGCCTCCTGCCTCTGCGCTTGCAAAAGTGCTGCACATGCGGCAGAACCCCGCGGCGACGGCGGCGGCGGCAGCGGTGACGGCAGCGGCGACGGCGGCTGCGGCAGTGGCGGCGGCGGCTGTGCGCGAACCTGCGTGCGGCCAGGGCGGTGGCGTGCGGGATGCGCCGCCGGAGGAGATCGACGCGCTGCGGGCGCAGCTCGCCACCGTGGCAAAGCAGAATACGCGCGTGCCGCTCGCGAGGAGGGACCAATCCACGACCCGCCCTCTGACGCGCCCGTGAGTCGCTCCACAGGCGCCTCGCGTCCGTGTTTAAGGCCAAGATTGAGGAGTTCCGGAAGGTGCGGCTGCTGGCAATCGCCTCGGCTCTCGCCGCCGTCTCACGTGCTCCCCGCCCCTCCCTCCCACTCGCAGGCGGTCCAGTCCCTGATGGGATACCGCGTCGACCTGCACGAGGGCTCGTGCTACCATCTCCACCTCGGGGCGCGCGGCGTGCTCCGCTTCCGGCGCACGCCGCAAGGCGACTTCGAGATGCTCGAGTCGCCGCTTGCCGCCGACTTGCTGGGCGACCCGCGCGTCAGGCGCTTCTTGGAGGAGGAGCACTCGATCCCCGCTTTCCTCGCCGCAGGCCTGCTGTCGGGCTCATGAGGCTTGAATTAATTGTTCACCGTTTCTAGTGCTTGCGGCGGGGCTGTGCGACCGATTCCGGGCTACCGTACTAAGTAAAAGTACATAAATGGCCCCCATATTGCGCATTGGAGCCTCCACATGCGCACATGCCACACACGATCCCGCCAAAAAAACAAGGTTGCAAAAGAGTTCTTAAAATACAAGGTTGCAAAAGAAACACACAATATCCAAGGCATATATGCTGTCTAGCGTCCACCCATACCGCGTTGGTGTCCAGTCCGAGCCTGGCTGTTCTTCACCTTCCTAACTAACTAACACTAACACTATTATGCTTATCACGATCGTTATTGTAATATGTGTGCTATTCCACGGGTCGGAGAGGCGTGTCATAGAGGAGAGGGGAGAGTGTGGAGATGTTTTGTGCGGGATCAGGCCCGAGTCCCTACTGTCGCCGGAACAGGTAGCTCCCTTTTTCGTAACACTGAGGAACAGTTTTTTTGTGCGGGACACTAACCTCAACTATTAGGATAGCTGCGCGCCGCTGACCTCATGTGGGGATGTGTGCCGACACAATACTGATCTAAAACCTGGAAACCCTTGTTCAAATCCGACCCTAAGCGCCATCCTTCCTGCTCTCACCTGATGCTGCTTCCCCGCGCCGCCTCCTTGGCCCCCCTGGGCGTATTTTCTACTCCCAGTGGGGGGCCTGGGCCCCCGGGCCCCCTCTTGTTTTCTGTTTTCTGTTTTTCAACACGCCCGCCCGCCCGCCACCCCGAGGCGGCTCGGCCCCCCACTTACCGAGAGATCAAAAACGCTCGGCCCTGTGGTCCCGTGTCGCAGTCACACTTGTCGCAGTCACACACACGCACACGCCGCTCCGCACCGCGCGCCCGCCCGCCGCCCCGCGCCCAGGCGGGAAAGAGATGAGGAGATGCGGGGGACAGCGAAGCAGGAAGCCTCAAACACGTAAGTATGGGAGGGTAAAGTTGTGCGTCACGCTGCCCGGCGTTTCTCACTTTCCGGGACAGCCCCGCCCTTTCGAGGCAGTAGGGTGTGACGACTACCCCTTCGTGCGTAGCGACGCCAACCTCGCCGACTTCTTCACGAAGCCCCTCAAGCCCAAACGGTTCTTCGAACTTCGTGACAAGATCATGAACATCAAATCTCCGGTCATGAATATCACGTTCCCTAACGCATCGTGATCCGAGAGTGCACGGTTACTCGACTATGTCGTTACTCGACTAAGTCGAGGGGGGGGACGTCGGGCCGAAGCCCGTCAGGCACTCTCTCCCTAACCCTAGCCTTCTCCCGAACCCTAGTGTGTTTTGTTGCCTCCGTGCTTTCACACTCGTCTCGTCGTGTCCGTCCACTGTGATTGCGGCCGTCCACGACTACGTCGTCTCTAGAGAACGTATCAACCCCCTTCTGGTGCCGACCGCGCCCCCGCGGGGCACGGCCGGACGTAGGTAGGTAGGTAGAAAGGTGAAGAACAGCCAGGGACTAAGCCGCTCTCCCAGAGAGAAAAGAAATGGAGGGGACGGAAATCGGGCCTGCGGAATATGCAATCGGCTACGACTAGGTCGGCCTCGAGAGCTGCCTTCCTGCTCTCTTGCGCCGCCAATGATCGCTCTTCAGCCCTCGCCGTCGCGTGCGCGTGTCGTCTCGTGCTCCGTCGCTTTGACGCTCTCGCTGACCGTCGTGCTGGTCCTCGCGCGGAGTGCTGCCGCAGGCCGTGCGATGCCGGGTAGTTTTCCGCCAGAGGCAGGCCTCGGACCAAAGGCGTCGCGGGTGACAGCACGGATCCGGGAGGAGCTCATGCCAGACTTTGGCATGCCGCACTTCCAGGAATTTTCTTTGCCAGAGCTCAGAGGTCCGCAGCTTCCAGAGCCGCAAATGCCTCAACTGCAAATGCCCCCACTACCGAGCTTCGATGCGTCTCCCAAACAGCAACCGAAGCGGCCGACAAATTCTACCAAAGCGCAGCCTCCTCCGGCCAACACAGCTGCGACGCCATTGGCCGTCTCTCCCTCGGCCGCTCTCGCCTCCGCCATCGCCGCAGGCGCCATCGCCGTCTCTGCCGACGTCCCCGCCTCCACCATGTCCGCCTCTGCCCTCACCGGCGGCCTGGTGAAAGGAGAGCTTCCGCCCGCCAAGACCTCCTCCTCGCCGCCTCCGGCACCCCACTGGGTCGCAATCTCGAGACTGAGCCCATCCTCACCGCCCCCTCCCCAACCGCCGGAGGAGGCGTACCCATGGCTCCCCTGCCGCCTGCCCGGCGTGGTGTGCTCCGGCGGTACCGACGCCACGGGTCGGTACCCCGTGAATGTCGAGGTGTCCCAATGCTTCTGATTCGTTTGTGCGACGTGTGTTCACCCCTTCTGATTCTGCGAGCTATGCATAGAGCTGGGTCAGTGAGTTGCTGTTGTGTACGTGACGCGTGCTTTATCCGGTGCACCTTGCTACTACCTTCTTCTCTTCCACCTGGTGGTGCGATGGGCTCCCTCCCACGGGGAGATGTCATTTCGCTGCCAGCGGCCCCCTGTAGCATCAGGTGCAAAGGAAAGAGTGGGCTGATAAAAAACCGCGTCGTCCCAGCGACTTCACTGTTCACAGCCGTGTTAAAGAGAAGAAAATATCTGTCTATCGCGCCTTGCGCGGGACGACTCGCTCGCGTTGGCCTCGCCTGATCACTCGCCCTGATCACAATGGCTGCGCCCGGCCCTCTCTACTGCTTGACGATGTTCAGCGTTTTGGCGCTGGCCGCAGCGGGCAAGCACGTCGCGGTCTTTGGCGGCATGATGAGGAGCCACCACCTCACCGTCGTCCCGCTGATCGAGGGCCTGCTCGAGCATGGCCACGATGTCTCTTTCGTGGTGCCAAACACTACGGAGCATAGGTCCTACTTCCCCAAAGGCGTGGGCTCGGCCACGATGGTCTTCCTCGGGACAGAGGACTGGGCTTTTGACACGCTGTTCAGTGGCCCCGAGTACGACTTCAAAAACCTGCCGTGGTACAAGAAGCCACTCCTCTTCGCAAAGGTGCTTTCAACCTACCGATCGACGCTCGACGTGCCGATGTTTAGCATGCATGACGAGCTGGGTCCGTGGCTCGCACGTGCGGGGGTCGATGCGGTGCTCCTCCACGCGGCATCTTTCGGTAGCGTCCCCGTCGTAGCGGCGTCTGGAATCCCATGGGTAAGCTACTTCTCGGTTCCGCCACTGCCTCTGTTCCTCGAGCATGATGACGATCGGGTCTGCCGATATCCCAACTACATGAAGCCGCCTCCGGTCACCGAGCTGAAGCAGTCTCTAGTGGCGCGCGTGAAGAACCACATGGTGTGCCGCTTCCTGCAGACATACATGGTCTTTGCCGACCGCGAGATGCGCGCTCTGTTTGACGCCCGAGGTCTGAGCATGGGAGATGGCCTGCTCCAAATGATCACGAGCGCGCCTTCGCTGATGCTGCTCGGCGGTCCTCCTCTCAGCCACAATGTCGAGCTGAAGGAGAATATCCACGTGCTGGGCGTGATAGACCGGCCCCAGCCGGATGTTATCCCAGCAGGCATGCTCGGCTGGCTCGACGCCGCTCGCGACGCGGGAGCTCCAGTCGTGTACGTGTCGATGGGCACCAAGTACGAGCTTCACGAGAATACCTGCACGAGGCTGAGTGCGCTGCTCGACGAGATGGCGACTTCACTCGGCGTTCGCTTCCTGTGGTCGCTGAGGGCGTCTCAGCAGGAGACGCTCCGTGCGTACCTGCCTGCACAGGGCGAGCTCGTGCGAATCGACAAGTTCACGCCCCAGCCGGAGGTCCTGCAGCACGCCGCCGTGAAGATATTTCTTTCGCACTGCGGCTGGGGCGGCGTGACAGACACCATCAGAGCCGGTATCCCCGTCTTAGGATACCCTGGGATGCAGGACCAGTTCACCAACGCGCGGATGCTTCAGGAGGCCGGCGCCGGAGTGATATTGGAGGAGGACTTCTCAAATCTCGTCGAGAGCACGAAGCTGTTGCTGCATGACCCGACGTTCGCCGCGGCCTCAAAGGCTGCGGGCGAGACCCTCCGTACCTACGGGGGCTTGCCTCGGGCCCTAGAGATCATCGAGGCCGCCGCAGAGGGGACGTACGTGAAGCCGGACGCCGAGGTCCACGCCAAGATGAATGAGGTCGATCCATTCTTTCTAGAGCCGCAGGACCTGGTGCAATGGCTCAGTCTGGCGATATGCGTCGGCGCAATCTCGCTCACGCTCCTGGCGTGTTGCTGCGTCGGCCGCTGCTTCTGCGGGCGCTGCTGCAAGAGAGGAAGCGCGGCAGCCGAGGACCGCGCCAAGAAGCGGCAGTGAGTGTCCAGTGTGAGTCACACACCGTGAGTGAGTGTCGCACTGTCCGAGCACCGAGGGTCCGAGCGTGTGTTGAGTCCGAGCGTGTGTGAGTCCTGTGCCACTCGCTAGCTTAAGGTAAGGTAAGGTAAGGTAAACGTCTCCACACACACAAAGTGGTGGGGCAAGGGGGGGCGACCCTCGCATCTCCACGCCCGGGACACGGGCAGGAGCCCCACGGCATTCAAAGTGCAAGCACCGGCCCGGTGCCGTGGGTGAGCAACCTGCACCCCACTCTCCTACTCCTATAACACAACCCCCACAGCGTGGTCGTCTACGTGTTCAGAAACACCAGCGAGGCGAGGGTGAAGGGGTAAGGGGCTGTGTGGGGCTATCTGTGACCATCTAGCCTGGGGGGTAGCAGGAGGGGGGGCAGAGGGTAAGATATGGGTGAGGCCAGCTACAAGTCGGACGCCCTCCCGTCGTCGGAATAATCCTCGGAGCGGTCGGCGTCCTCGTCGTCGTCCTCGGTCTGCATCGCGTCGCCAGCCGTGAACCTGAACACGGCGTCGGCCGGCGCCGAGGCGCCGGCGGCCGTCATCAGGTGCATGACTATGCGGTCGCGGTATGCCGCATCGATCTCTCCGTGCTCGGCCAGCTCGTTCGCGAGCCAGTCCGAGGCGACGGTCGTCGCCACGGTCCCCTGGGGAACTGTGGCGTACACCTTGCTGGGGCCGCGTCGATACCCGTCGTCCCTCTCCGGGGGCAGCGAGTATTCGACCCCCATTTTGGACCCGGCCTGGCTGCGCGCCTGCGCAGCTGCAGACCGCAGCCCGGCCATCACGTACTGGATGTTCTCGCGCAGCTGCGCCCGCGGGGCCTCCGCGCGCTCGGCCTCGCTCGCGGCGCGCTCGCCAGCCTCCGTCGCCCGGCGCTCCTTCTGCCGGTTCTTCTTGGCCTTGCGTGCCGCGGCTCGAGCCGCGAGCTGCTCCTTGGTGGGCTCCTTCTTCTTCGGCGCGGTGCGCTCGACGTACGAGCGCTCCGCCGCCTGCACCGACTCGCGGTCGCCCGCGGCCTTCTCGTGCTTCAGGTCGACCTCGATGGTCGCGTAGCCAGGCCTTATCACCCTGACACAAGACGCACCGAACAACCTTGCGACACTCACCGCGTCCTCCAGTTGCGCGCGATCGGAGCTATTCCAGCGTCCGCTGCGCATCCCCGGCGGCACGACGGTCTGGCCGGCGCTTGCGCGCCAGCCCCGTCCGCCGCCGGGTCCGCGGCCGCGGTCCCTGTCATAGCTACTACGTGTTGCGCGGTGTGTGTCGCGTGTCGGCTGATTTTTAACCCAAACAAAGTGTGTCGCGAGCGCCAAGAGAATGATCGACTGTACGCCACGGTGCACGGACGCAGCTCGAGGGTTCCCGGTGTGTGGAGGGGGCGAATGTTCATTGCGTTGCGCTGTGGGCGCGCGAGATGTCGAGAGTGGCGCGGAATCACGCCGCCACGGGCCGGCAAGCGTCCAGCGCCCGCGCGAGCACGTCGCGCACGCGCTGCAGCGCGAACTCACTCTCGCTCTCGATGCGCTCGAACGGCAGCGACGCGCCGTGCAGCCGGACAGCGTGGCCGGCGACCTGCAGCCGCCTTGCCCCGCCCGCCTCCTCCTCCTCCACCGCGCCAAACTGCTCTGCGAGCACCCGCAAGGCGAAGTCGAGCCCGCCCCCTGCGCCGCCGCCGCCTCCCTCGCCGCCGCCGCCGCCTCCCGCGGGCTCCTCCGCCGCCGCCACCTCGGGCAACTGCTGGGCCTGCAGCTGCAGCAGCAGCGCCGACACCGCGTCAGCGACTGTGTCGGCGATCGGGTCCGCCTCCCACTCCAGCACCGCCAGGCTGCTCGCCGGCGACACCTCCACCGCCACCAGCCCCTGCACCAGCCACCGGCGTGCCAACGCCGAAGGCCCGCCCTCCTCTGCCGCCTCCTCCCCCGCCTGCTCCCCTCCCGTCTCGACAGCCCCGCCTCCGCCACCACCGCCGCCTCCTCCTCCTTCTCCGCCGCCGCCGCCGCCGCCGCCGCCGCCGCCGCCTCCACCTCCGCCTCCTCCCCCCTCCGCGAGGAGCAGGGCTGGCTGCGGCGGCCCCACCTCAAAGATACGACCGACGGCCGAGAGGAGCGCGGCGGGCGGCCGCTCGAACCGGAAGCGGGGCCGCTGCAGCAGCCGCGTGGTCGCGAGGTCGGTGGCCGTGTGGAGGTCCGCGGGGGCGAGCAGGGTGTACTTGTTCTCCTTGAGCAGGAGAAGCGCCTCGAGCGGCGCGCCGTCCGACGGCTCCTCCTCCGCCAGCGAGCCGACGACACGCGCAATCTTCTCTCCCGGGAAGCGAAGCTGCACGGGCTGGCAGTTCTGAGGCGTCAGGAACTCGACCTCCTTCGGGCTGTACTGCTTGGCGAGCGCGCGGGCGAGGCGCTTCATCTCCTCCTCGCCGCCGTGCACGTGGATGACGTGGCGTGGCCGCGTGGCGGAGATGAACTCGGACGTCTGCGTAAAGTCGGAGTGCGCAGAGAAGGACACGTAGGTGATGGTGAGGTTGACGGCGACCCAGTCGCCGCCGCTCGTCTGGATCTCTTTTGGCTCGGAGAGGAGGTGGTTGGCCAGCGTGCCGACGACGGAGTAGCCCGGCATTACGAGCCCGTTCCGCCGGTCGGAGCACCAAAGCTCAAAGAGCTCCCGAGACAGGCCTTGCTGCAGCATGCCTGGCGACGCCATCACGACCATCGGCTGCGAGTCGTTGAACTGGGCAGACGAGGGCAAGTTGCGCACAAACTCAAACTCCCACGGGTTGCGGCCCGTCGCGTGTGCGTCGCGGATGTTCTCGTTCATCATGTTGATGTACGTCTGGTAGATGCGCATGCAGCGCTTGGCGATGCCAGACGCATAGTACAGAGGCACCTTGTGCAGCTCGGGGTGATCGCGCCAGTAGGCGTCGAGGATGAGCAGCAGCTCCTGCGACCGCCCCAGCGCAAAGACCGGGATGAGGCACTTTCCACCGCGCTGCAAGATCGCGTGCACGGCGGCGGTGAAGCGCAGCTCTCGCAGCTCGCGCGGCTCGTGCGACATCACCTAGACACTTCCGAGACACCTCCGAGACACCTCCTAGGCGAGCGCAGCTCTCGCAGCTCGCGCGTGCGACAGCACACCCCGTACGTCGACTCTAGGAAGTGTCTCGGAAGTGTCTAGGCGACAGCACACCCCGTACGTCGACTCGACGATGAGCACATGCGGCGGGTCCGTCGGCGTCTCGGCACCTGCCGCGGGAAGGGTCGCGGAAGGGTCGCGGAAGGGTCTCGGAAGGGTCTCGGAAGGTTCTCGGAAGGGTCGCGGAAGGGTCGCGGAAGGGTCGCGGAAGGGTCGCGGAAGGGTCGCGGAAGGGTCGCGGAAGGTTCGCGGAACGTGCGCAGACCGGACGGTACCGGGAGGAAGGTTCCGACAGGGTTCGCGGACGGCCCAAGCAAGGGCGGTGGATGTGTCGGCGTCTCGACGCCGAGCGAGCGGCGGCCGGGCTAGGAAGTGTCTCGGGGGTGTCTCGGGGGTGTCTCGGAAGTGTCTCGGAAGTGTCTCAGGAGTGTCTCTGAAGTGTCTCGGGAGTGTCTCGGAAGTGTCTAGGGAGTGTTTAGGAAGTGTCTCGGAAGTGTTCGAAGTGTCTCGGAAGTGTCTAGGAAGTCGCCGAGCAGGTGCCGGTCGGGCTGGCGCGAGAAGTCGCCGGTGTAGAGGACGCGCACGCCGCCAACCTCGATCATGAACATGGCCGCTTATTATTATTATTATTATTATTATATTATTATTATTACCAACCTCGATCATGAACATAGCCGCGCCGAGCACGTGGCCCGCGTTGTAGCACCAGAACCGGATGCCCTTGTGCGAGAGCACCTGGTGGGGTAGGGGGGGGTAGGGTACCGGGCTGGTAGGGGAGGGTTCCCGATGCACTTGTGCGAGAGCACCTGCGTATCTGTGCCAGAGTCGGTGCTACATTGGAGTCGGTGCTAGATTAGGAGTCAGCACCCGAGGCGGTGCCCCCAGGCGGCCGTCTCGCACAGAGTGCCTACGAGTGTGGCACTAGTGTCCGCCTCTGAGAGAGAGTTCAGAGTCTCGAAGAGGCGCCACGGTGTGTCCACCAGAGTGTCCAAGGGAGGCACTAGTGCACGGCGGCCTGGTGGTAGTTGATGAGCTCGATGCGGTCCATGGCGGCGACGAGGTCGGCCTCGTCCCACATGCGGCCGTCGTCGTGCCCGATCTTGACCGAGTCGTGCAGCAGCAGCTTGCACACCGCCTTGGTCGGGTGCGTCATGAAGGTGCGGCCGCCGAAGCCCGTCTTTTGCAGGAAGAATGGGAGCGCGCCGCAGTGGTCCATGTGGAAGTGGGTCACCAGCAGCAGGTCCACCTCCGTCGGGTCGATCTCGTCGAAGAAGGGCAGCGCGTCGTAGCCGGTGCGGCCCGGGTGCACGCCGCAGTCAAACATGACGGTCGAGCCCTTGAATTTGACCACGACGGCAGAGCGGCCGACCTCGCAGCCGCTGCCGAGTGGCAGGACCGTCATCACGTCCTCGCCCAGGCGGACCTCCTGCGGCCCGCCGCTCGCCGCGACGGTGTGCGTCGTGCTGCTCATCGTGTGCCGGCGTGCCGCATGCCAAGAATGAGAAAACCCGCCGATTTTTCTTCTTTTTTGCGAAGGCACCAGGGTGTGCAGGATCGCGGCGAAGCCTCGAGCTGCTCCGTGTTGTGTCCCAGACCTGACCCTCGCGGCCGCCGCCCCCGCAGGCGAAGCATGCTGGCCAAAGCGCTCGTACTGTTCGCTGCGTGCGCGAGCCTGATTCGCGGGTCCGAGGCGTTCTCGCTCGCCACGCCCGCCGCTCGCCACAGCTGCCGCCGGCCCCGCGCAGCCGTGAACGCCGGCCTGTTTGACGGCTTCCAAAAGGCGGCCAAGGAGCGGGAAGCGGCCAAGGAGGCGCAGTGGCAGGCGATGAAGGACATGCAGGCGGCGCGGCGAGACCCAGAGGCCTTTGACAAGGCGACGAAACGCACTCGGTACGTCGCAATGGCTCGAAAAGCGGCGGAGGCGGGCAACCTTCCCGACGGCTGGGGCTGCGCGCAGGACCCCGCCTCGGGAGACACTTACTACTTCAACAAGGAGAAGGGCATCGCGTCGACGTGGGACCCGCCGCTCGACGACATGGTCAAGATCCTCGAGGAGCAGAATGCGCTGTGAGAAGCGGGGCCGGCCCGGTTCCGAGACGTCGGTACCTGTCTCTAAGACTTTTTGATAGCATAGAAATCACGTATTTCAACTTTTCACCCATGCACTCGCTGGTGGATCCATTCCCTCTGCCGGGGTGGATCACTCCAGGCAGCAGACAGCAGACAGGTGCCCCGACGTCTGCACGCGGCCGGCCGGGCGAGAGGCTTGACACGATCCGACCCTGCGACCCTGACGCTGCTGCTCTAGCTATCAGACATGCACTGCTGACTGCTGCCACAATGTGCGACAGTGCTGGCCCACTTGGCGGCCTTCCCGGTCAGTGGTGAGGCGCAGTTCAGAGCTGTCGATGGCGCGATGCCGCACTGACTGGTCCCACATTGGTGACACGAGACCACCACGTTTGCCGGTCCAAGAGAGAGGCACCGGCGCTGTCCTGACTCCTGAGAAGGTGCGTGGTCCCATGCGCGCGAGGCTGTGTAGGCATAGCCTCGAGAGGGCCAGCAGCCAATCCGAGGCGACGCGCTCATTGCGCCAGAAGCGTGCACACGATGGAAGGACACCTTCCTACTGGCCGTACGATCAGGTCGTCACTGTGAATGCTTGATACTAAGGCCGCGAGCTATGCAGGTGATCAATTGTGCATCATGGCACGGTCAGCAGCGCCGACAGGCTGTCGCATGTGCAAAGCATACAAGAAGGGGGAAGGCGCTGTCGAGGTTCGCCGAGCGCGGCGCAGGTTCAGGGAAGCCGCCACCGACGAGCCCGTTGAAAGCCCTCCGGAGTGGATACTCCAACGCGCTCGTCGGTGACGGCGTCCTCCAACCTGCGGCACGCCCCGCACCGTCCGCTGTGCCGCGATTTTTGAATTCTTTTTTTACGCGGCACCGATAGGCTGGCACCGATAGGCTAGCAGACAGCCCAACCCAACCCCACCCCGAACCGCAGCCATCCGTGCCTTATGGACAACCAGCATGATCCCTTCCTCGACCCGTCGCCGCCGCCTCGCGTGGCGTCGTGGCGAGAGACGGCGGCCGGGATCCTCGCGCTGGCGCCTGCCCTGTTCATCGGCCAGCTCGGGTGGGTCGGCATGAAGGTGACAGACACGGCGCTCCTCGGGCACGTGGGCACGCACGCGCTTGCGGCGGCATCGCTCTCTGACCTGTGGACCATGGCCTCGGGTGTACTGATTCAGGGCCGCGTCCTCGGCATATTTGTCGGCAACGCCGTCGGCGCGGCAAAGGCGGGGACCGCGCCGTGGCAGCTCGCCGGCGAGTGGCTGCAGGTGAGCGTTGCGGTGCTCGGCGTGATTTCGTGCTTCGTGATGGGCCTCTGGGCGGCGACGGGCCCCGTGCTCCGCCTCACTCGCGCGGACGCCGCGCTGATCCCCGACGCCTCCTACTTTTCGCTCGTGCTGCTGGCCTGCATCCCGGCGCGGGTGCTCTTCTCGCAGCTGCAGCAGTACCTTTCGGCACAGAGGATCGTCAAGCCGGCCGCGGCCGTCGCCCTCGTCGGCCTCGCGGCCAACCTGCTCCTCGGCTACCTGCTTGTCCTTGGCGTACCTACCGGCCCGTCGCGCTTCGGCGGGTACGGCTCCCTCGCGCCACACCTCCCCACACCTCTCCCCACACCTCCCCACACCTCCGCACACCTCCGCAGGTACGGCTTCCCGGCATGCCCGATCGTGACGAGTGCGGTCGAGTGGCTGCAGCTGCTCGCGCTTGCGGGCCTCTTTTGCCTCTGCCTCGGGTACGGGCGGCAGGGGTGGCCCCAGGCAGTCGGCTGGTGCGGCGTCTCCCCGGCCTTTGTCACGAAATCCCGCGTGCGCGAGTACCTGAAGCTGTACGTCCCCGCCGCCCTCTCCATCGCCTCTGACTTTTGGCGGATGTCTGCGGTCGGCGCGTTCGCAGCGTCGCTCTCCACCCTCGATCTCGCCGTCTTCACCGCATCGTACCGCGTGATGTGGATCTCGCTCGTGCTCACTGGCTCGCTCACCGGCGGAGTCGGGATCAAGGTGAGATAGGGGGGAGGTCTGGGGAGATCTGGGGAGATCTGGGGAGACTTCCTGGCTCGCTCACCGGCGGTGTCGGGATCAAAGGTGGCGCACAAGACACACACACTCACTCACTCACTCACTCACTCACACACACACACACACACACACACACACACACACACACACACACACACACACACACAACACAACACAACAGAACACAACACAACACAACACAACACAACACACACACACACACGACACACACACACACAACAGACACACTCACTCACTCACTCACTCACACAACACACTCGCACTCACACACACACACACACACACACACACAACACAACACAACACAACACAACACAACACAACACAACACACACACACACACGACACACACACACACAACAGACACACTCACACTCACTCACTCACTCACACAACACACTCGCACTCACACAACACACACACAACACACTCGCACTCACACTCTCGCCGCTCACCCACGCGCAGAGAGCCTCGCACTGTGAATGGCGCGGGGCTCCTGCCTTTCAGACGTGGCGTCGCGAGGGCCGCCCGGCCCCACCTACCTCGTGTGTGTGGACAAGTGTGCCGGACCGGACCGTAGGTGGCGCAGGCCCTTGGCGCTTCGCGGCCGCACGACGCGCGCCGCTGCGTCGTTGCCGGCCTTGGCCTCGCGTGCGTCGCCCTCGCCGCCGTCGCCGCTCTCATCCTGGCCGCGCCGCGCCCGCTCGCGGCCATCTTCTCCTCCGACGCATCGGTGCTCGACGCCTTCGTGCGCGCGCGCCTCGGGCCCTGCCTCGCCGCCGAGGCGAGATCGCCCGAGATCACCGAGCGCACTCGAGATCGTCCGAGATTAGGCTCTGCCTCGCCACAATCTCGATGAACCTCGCCGTCGTGCTCGAGGGGCTGCTCATGGCGACCGGCCGCACGCGCGCGGTGCTGCTCGCCGGCCTGGTCGGGTCGTGGGCGGGGCAGGTGCCGGCGGTCGCGCTGCTCGTCGTGTACTGGAGGCGCTCGCTCGGCGCCGTCTACTACGGCGTCGCGGTCGGGTACGCCCTCCTCTGCGCCATCCTCGCCCTCGCCCTCTCGCGGCTCGACTGGGACCTACTAGTCGCAGAGGCGCTCGCGCGCGCCAACGGAGGCGAGGTCTGCCGAGGGACCGCCGAGGCGCCGCGTGAGGCGCAGGGTGCGCAGGCGGCGACGGTTGAGCCGCGTCGTGCGCCGGCGCGGGGCGCCGAGGGAGGCGGCGAGGAGGCGGCGCGCCAGGAGGCCGAGGCCTGACCCCTCCCCGCTGTTCTGCCGATATGAGTTTCCACCATAGAGCATAGTGAACAGATTCAGACATATAGATTGAAACCGAGGCGAAACTAAAAAGAATTGGTCGGTGCACATTGCCAAGGATTCATATTGCCATTGGGGACTTCGATCTTCGTGAACTCGTGAAGCGACCCTACGCGCTACGATTTCATGAGTGAAGGCAAAAGGAAAAGCAGTGTCTCGTCTCCTGGCGGAGCTGCTCGTTCTCCCGCCGCAGAGCCATGTTCTCCTCGTGCAGCTGGTCGAGGGCGCTGACGGTGCTATTGCCTGAAGGTGCGAGGGTGCGCGCCTGCTCCCTGCTGCCTGAAGCGCAACCAACACCCGGGGGCAACGCCAAAAACATCGCGCGCCCGATCTCTACGGAGAGAATGATCTCAGCGGCTGCGCGCGGACTCACTCAGCAGGAAGCAAGCAAGCAGGATTGGTCGGCAGGAGAAATGAATCCTCATTCCGAGTTGCGGCGCGGGATGGACCATACCGAGTATTCAGTCGTAAATCAACTAATATGCCATATGTGTGTCTCCGCTACGTACGAGTAGGCGAGAGGCACCAGTACGGCATCGCCCAGCAATATTCCTCGCGCGAAAGCCACGACGGTCGTTTCAAGCCCATTGACTTCCTGCAGCATGTACTCCGCAGTCTCCATCGCGCTTTGTTGTAAAATTCTTCTTGCTTGCTTGCCTGTGCTGTGAGAGAGAGTTCTCTGTGCGATTTCGGGCCCGGTTGTGGCTTTCAATTTTACGTGTTTGTTTTTGTTGATTCAATTCTTCTCGAGCGAGAATCGAGAAAAGACAAAAGGTGAGACTAACTAACTTAACTGAGACTGTGACAGTAACCAGGCTGAGTCCTGAAGGTGGTTGGCGAGCCCAGGCCGCGGAACCAGGGATTTCCACAGTCCTGAGTCGACGTGGTTGGGCGTTCACAGTCCTAGCCATTGTACCTGGGGGGTAGGGAAATGACGGGACCAGATGACGGGAGACGGGGTCGCTCTACGTCGCGTGAGGCCTGCTGAGTTATTTAGCGTTGCGAGGCCCCGCAGGGATTCCACAACTGACAAGAGAGATTTCGCAATACTAGATCTAACACTCACACATGTCGTTGTTCTCAAGTGCTTGCAGTAGGCCACTGTCTCCGGTGGTACTTTTGTGGCTCGCTCTCTCGTCTTACACTCAGCACTCAGCCAGACGTACCGGCGTTTCCTGCTGCATCGCCTCCTGCTCCTTCCGCCCAATCGTCGCGCCGCTCGTCGCATAGTCCTCGAGCGCCTGCTCAAACGTGCTCCGGAAAGTCCACTCGAACTCGGCCAGCATCTGCGGCACCATCACCTGGTCCGCCTTGCCCGTGAAGCGCGCCTTCTCGATCGCGCGGCACGCCTCGTCGAGCACCTTCTTTGGCGGCAGAGAGCACTCGCGCGCCACCGGCGCCTCCCCTCCGATGTCATACACCTTGGCGCGGCTCGCCTGCGCGCGGCGGAAGCGCTCTGGCAGCGCCTTGCCCTCCTCCTCCGCCTGCCTCTCCGCCGCCGTCAGGTGCGCCAGCACCGTCATTGCGGTCCCCTGCTCGAAGATGCACCAGCCGCGGCCACCATCGCCCTCGTACGGCGTTGGGTTGTACTCTCCCGGTCCGAACCCGGTGGTCGCGCCTGGCGGGAGGTCGATGTTGCGCTGCTGGATGACGGAGGTGCCCGTGACGCTGGCGTAGAAATTCCCCATCACTTTGAGGCCTCGCCCGAACATGGCCTTCTCCTCCTCGCTCTTCTCCTCCCCGTTTGGGCCCTTTTGCGGAAGGCTGCAAAAGTCCCAGAAGAGCCCGGTGTCGCTGGCCGCCGCGTCGGCATCGAGGAAGCGGCGGACGGCGGCGAGGGTAGTGCCGCGAGGGTCCGGGTGAAACACCGTCAGCCAGCCGTACGAGAGCGCTAGGATAGACCGGTCGCCTCGCTCCAGCATCGCCACCGCCTCATCGCAAGGCACAAACGCTTCTGCCGGCATGTCCTGCTGCCTCTTCATGATGACGGCGCCAGAGGCGTCGCGGCCGAGGAAAGCGTCGGAGGCGGGCGACGCCAGCCAGCTGCAGCGGAGCAGCCGCACCGAGCCGTCGCGCAGCCGATCTGCGAGCGAGCCGTCGATCTTGGAGTCGGCGGCGCTGAGGATGGCGGAGAGGTCGACGTCAGCGAGCGCGCGCCGCATCCGCCGCAGCTCGCGGATCGAGTAGACGGCGCCGACGATGAGACTGCTGAGAAGCACGATCGCCATGAGCGCCTTGCTCACTCGCGCAGCGGCAGGGTCGGCGGGGAGCGCGGTGTAAACCATGGCGAGGGCGAGGAAGAGAGCGGTGGTACCGTACAGACACGACTCGAGCGCGTTCTGGAAGCGGAAGGCGAAGGGCAGGGCGCGGCACTGGAGGCGCCAAAAGACGAGCGTGACGGCGATCGCGAGGGCGGCGATGGCGTAGCGGCCGGCGTTGAAGGTCTTGTCTGTGGTCGCATAAAAGAGGACGTTGCTGGCGAAGGCGAGGAGGAGGAGAATGAACTGCCGAAGCCAGATGACGACCTGCCAGCGGGGAGCGTGGCGAGCGAAGCGGCCAACGAGGAAAGCGACATGCCGCTCGAGCCGGCGGGGAGGAATGGGGCGTGTGCCGCAGCAGGCAGAGCCTCCGCACGAGTTCGGGCGCCGCCACACTCCACTTTTGACGCCGCGCTTGAAGGCGCGGACGTTGCCAGAGAAGCGGAGCAAGAGGACCAGCAGCAGCGCACCCAGCACCGCCACCGGCATCGTGCTTTCGAACCCCTTTTGCGACACGTCGAATGTATACCCATCCACGCCAATAGACGCTAAATAGCCAACCACGTAGGCCAAGTAATCGAGCACGAGACTCCATGCAAAGGTGAAGAGCAGCGAGTAGATCAGGCTCAGCACGAGCTCCGCCGTGTCGGCGATGGCGAGCCGGCGGCGGTAGAGGGCGAAGTACTTGACGAGGAGGGGCGCGAGCAGCAAAACAAGCACGGCAAAGGAGGCGTAGAACGTGTACGAATCAAACGCCGAGATCGTGTACCCCTCGAACAAATCCTCTCCCCCAACAAGGCAGCTGGCGCTGGGCAGCATGAGCAGGTCGAGCTTGAGCGCGGAGGCGATTGCGATGAGGGAGCGGGGCCACTCGAGACGCATGCTTGCGATGATGCTGGCCGTCTGGGCGTGGTTGAAGAGGATCGCGGCGGAGGAGACCCACCGCTTGAGGGCCCAGGGGTTGCGGACGACTAAGCGGACGAAGGCGGCGAGGGCGACGATGCCGACAAGAATGCAGACGCCGAGGATGATGAGGCTTGCAGTCTGGTTGTCGCAGACCACGCACTCGTTGGGGTCGGTTACAGATAGCTGCGCGTCGGCAAACGCGCTGCAGCTCCAAGGAGGGACGCCGAGGCACGTGGCACTTCCTACGCCGCGGCAGATGCGGGTGGCAAGATCGTACTCGACCCGGGCCTCACTACTGCGCGGGTACTCGAGTTTGTTGTTGAACAAGTATAGCGCCGCAAGGGAGGCGAGACTGCCCAGCTGCGCAGGGATGGTGCCCGAGATGGACGTGCTGCTCAGACCAAGGTACGTCAACTGCGAGAGCTTGCTCGTCTCCGGAGGGATGGTGCCCGAGATGGAGTTGCTGCCCAGCCGAAGGAACTGCAGCTGCGTGCCCGTCTCCGGAGGGATGGTGCCCGAGATGGAGTTGCTGAACAGGTTAAGCCACTCCAGCTGCGAGAGCTTGCTCGTCTCCGGAGGGATGGTGCCCGAGATGGAGTTGCCGGACAGACCAAGCCTCTGCAGCTGCGAGATGTCACCCAGTTGCGGAGGGATCGTCCCCGAGAGCCCTTGGTTGGACAGACCCACTGTGGTGCCCGTGTAGTTGCCGTCGCACAGCGACGTGCCATACACGCCGGTGGGGCAGCCGGAGAAGCATGGCACGCTGTTGTCGCATATCGTGCCCGCGGCCTCGCAGCGACCCGCCAGCAGGAGGAGCGCGAGCGGGGCGAGGCGCGGCGCCGAGGAAGAGCCAGCCGCCGCCAGCAGCGTAAGAGCGAGTGAGTTTGCCAACGTCATGGCGGGTCATCGCCGGCTGTAGCACGCGTGCTTTGCACCGACGCGGGAGGATGCAGGTGCGGTCGAGGCTGAGGACTCACCAGAGGACTGCAAAAAGGTGCGGAAGGGAGGCGCCGAGTAGTGAGGCGTCTCAGGATTGACCTTCACACTTTTTTTCTCCCGCGTATTTTTTTGTTTTGAATCTCCGCCTCCCCGGCATGAGCGGCGGCGCGAGCCCAACTCTGCTCCCCGATCTGGCGGTGGGAAACCTGGGCTCGCTGCGCGCCGTCCTATCCGGTTGGGGGACGCGCGGCACGTCGCTCACGGCCCAGCTCGACGCGCGGCTCAAGACCGAGAAGCAAGACACGCTGCTCACCTGGGCCGCTCGTCACGGGCAGGCCGAGGCGGTGCGGCTGCTGCTCGAAGCCGGCGCGAGCGCTGGGGGGACGACTGGCGGCGGCGCTTCCGCGCTGTACATCGCGTGCCAGAAGGGCCACCTCGAGTGCGTCCGGCTGCTCCAGCAGGCTGGCGCGGCGGTCAACCATTCCCTGCACGATGGCTTCACGCCGCTGATCATGGCGTGCCAGAAGGGCCACGTCGACATCGTCCGGCTGCTCCTCAAGGCGGGCGCGGCGGTCAAGCAAGCCGAGAAGCAAGGCGGCACGCCGCTGCTCATGGCGTGCCAGCAGGGGCACGTTGACATCGTCCGGCTGCTTCTCGAGGCTGGCGCGGCGGTCGGCCAAGCCCGCAACGACGGCGTCACACCGCTGCTCATCGCGTGCCAGAACAACCACCTCGAGATCGTCAAGCTGCTCCTCGAGGCCAACGCGGCGATCGACCAAGCGACGAACAACGGCTTCACGCCGCTGCTCAGCGCGTGCCAGCAAGGCCACCTCGAGATCGTCCGTCTACTGTGCGTTGCTGGCGCAGCGGTCGGCCAATTCATGGATGGCGGCGTCACGCCGCTGCTCGTGGCATGCCTGCAGGGGCGCGTCGAGATCACCCAGCTGCTCCTCGAGGCCAGCGCTTCGGTCAACCAAGCCAAGGAGAACGGCTCCACGCCTCTATACATCGCGTGCGAGAAGGGCCAGCTCGAGATCGCCCAGCTGCTTCTCGAGGCTGACGCGGCAATCAACCAGGCCGAGGAGAATGGCGTCACGCCGCTGTCCATCGCATGCCAGTTTGGCCACGTCGAGATCGTCCGGCTGCTTCTAGAGGCCAATGCGACGGTCAGCCAAGCCCGCAACAACGGCGTCACGCCGCTGCTCGCTGCGTGCCACCAGGGCCACCTCGAGGTCGCCAAGCTCCTCTCCTCCTACGGCGCCTCCCGCGCCGCAACGCCCGCCGGAACGCTCGAGGAGCTCGCGAACTTCCAAGGCCACGCCGACCTCGCCGCTTGGCTGGTCGCCAGCCGCGGCTGGACGCCGCTCCAGCACCTCGAGGCATGCCCGAGACTAGCGGCTGAAGTAGCGTGAGTGCATTGTCCTCACGCTCACTGTCCCTCCTCCCGCAGGCGCTCACCGTCGACCGGGCGCGGGCGCTGCTGCGCGGCGACGCGGACTCTTCAGCCGGCGAGCCTTCGGCCCTCGAGCGGGCGCGCGTCCTCTGCTCGTGGAGCGAGTCGGATCCGACAGCTGCGGCTGTCGGTTCCACAGTCGCGATCCACTCTCTCGTCTCGCGGCCCTCGCTGAACGGCAAGGTCGGCGTCGTCGTCTCCGCGAGCGCTTCGACGGGACGCTTCGGCGTGCGCGTGGCGGGCGAGGCCAAGGCCCTCGCACTGAGGCGCGCCATGGTCTCTTCCCCACTCGCCGGATGCTCTCTCTCTCGACACCCCACGCCTCTGCCCTCCCTCAGGCCGGCCAACCTGGAGCCAGCGGCCGCGGCAGTGGAGGTGGGCAGGCTCATCCTCAAGGCGGCGGAGTGGTCGCCGCAGTCCCACGAGCTCTTCCCGGAGGCGGCCCGCAAGCGGGCGGTCGCGGTGATGCGGCTGGGCTACCTGATCGCGTGGGACGAGGAGCGCTTCGACAGCCGCGAGGGAGCGGCTCCGGAGCTGGCGGACCTCTGGCGCGGCTTTGTGCTGCCAAGGGTGGTGGCGCCGCCAGACGCACCGCGTTCCGCATGATACAACGGCGTGTCTGACCGAGGGGGAAAGAAACCTGCCAGTAAGTGTTGAAAAAAGAAACAATGGCGCCGCGGTCTGCGGCCTCCTGGTTCCCGACCAGCTGCTGTAGACAAGCAGCCACGCCAAACCTGCAACGAGTTGGAAGACTAGATCCTGCCTTCGGGTCGGCAGCCACGCCAAACTGCCACGAGCGATGCTCCTTCGCTCCTCGTCTCTTCCGGCGCTCTCGCGCACCGCCAGACGCGCCCTGTCGGGCAGCTGCTGCCCTCCGGGGGCCCTGCCCGCGCTGGCTGCCGACGAGGACCGGGAGCTGGACGGCCAGGTGATCCAGCTTGATGACGTGAACCACTATGTCGTGGCAGCAGAGGGAACGGCCCGCGGCGGCCTCATCGTCGCGTACGACGTGTTCGGCTTCTCTGGCGGGCGCATCAAGAGCGTGTGCGACTCCTTTGCGAAGTGCGGCTTCAACGTGATCATGCCCGACGTCTACACCGGAACCGAGATCAACGGCTTCGGTGGTCTGGACGGCTTCATGTCTGGCGCCGAGGAAACGGTGGGCTGGATCTCGGCGCAGAACCCCGCCAAGTACATGCCGATGCTGGAGGGATGCAAAGCGTTCCTGGCCGGCGAGATGGGGTCCGCCAACGTCGGCGGATTCGGTTTGTGCTGGGGTGCCGTTCCCGTGTTCCACGCCGCCGGTGCTGGCATCATCCGCGCCGGCGTTTCTGCGCACCCCTCGCTGCAGGCCGCGGGCTTCTATGGCGAGCCGGGGCAGCCCGGCGAGTTCGCGGCGAAAACCGGCAAGTGCCCGATGCTGCTCCTGCCGGCGCAGGAGGACAGCCTCGATGACTACGGCGAGGAGGGCGCGGTCACCGCGGCGGTGAGGGATCTCGGGTTCGCGTGCGTCTCCCATCCCTTCCCCGAGATGCACCACGGTTTCGTGGCCCGGGGCGACACGAGCGACGCGGCGACGGCCAGAGACGTGGAGACGGCTCTCCAGATCTCGGCTGACTTTTTTGCCGAGCACCTGTGAATTGAATATCAAGGGTGGAAGGATCTGCCCGTCCAAAAAACGCCTGTCTTGGGCCAAACAAGACGGACAGACCCCCTACCTGTATGCAGCCGGAACCCAGGGTCGGGTTAGCGCGCGTGTCGATCGCACACACGAAGCTTATGATGAGAGAGGAAGTCCGCACTAAGGGCTTCGCCGCTCGCCTCTACAACTTTTGCATGGGCAAATTCATTGGTACCGCGACAGTGACCAGCACCGCGACGGAGGCAGACGGAGTGGTCGAGCCGGTCTGCGGCGGCGGAGGCGAGGGTGACGGCGAGGCCTCGCGCTGCGCCGTTTGCGCCCACTCCTGTGCGATTGTCTGCGGCGGTGAGGAGGCCTCGCTGACAACCTCGGCGGCGCAGGCATGCTCGCCAACACCGCCCGCGGGCAGCCCTTCAGCTGCCCACGTGCTGTCGTCTCTTGACGGCGGTGGTGGGCTCTCCAGCGCCGACGGCGCCGATGATGCGGCGCTGCCCCTGCTCGACCCAAAAAGCCGGGCAGTGGAGGGCCTCCGCGCCATGATGTCCAACCCTGAAAAGTACGCCGCTCCGCCGGTCACGCTCACGGTCGCCGACGCGGTGCAGATCTACTGGCTCTTCACGCGCAAGCATAGGGGTATCGGGCAGCCGCTGTGCCCCGAGCTCGCGAAGCACGGCCAGCCCGGCTTCTACACCGCCCTCGCCTCGCTCTCCGCGGGCAAGTTTGTGCATGTGGACGCGCGCGAGTGCCGCTCGCTGCTCGGGGTGCTCACGAGCACAGGATCGCCGCGCTCCGCCACGGGCCTCCTTCCGCTGGCTATGGCACTCCGGAGAGCAGCCTTGCTGTCGGCCGAGTACACTGCGCCGCTCCGGTACGACTTTGGCAAGGGCAGATTCGGAGGGCGCGCCGTCTTGGGGAAGCGGACGCGAGGCGCGGCAGACACCGGGCAGGAGGAGAGGCGAGGCGGAGGCGGGTGGCGCGGCGGCAGCAGCAGCAGCGGCGGCGGCGGCGGCAGCAGCGGCGGCGGCGGCGGCAGCAGCAGCAGCAGTAGCGGCGCGCTGCCATCCTCCTCGAGCAACGCTACGCCCTTGCCGCCCGATCAGCAGCCAGAGGCGGCGGGGGAGGACGACGAGGTGGAGGCGGAGGCGGAGGTGGAGCAGGAGGAGTCGGAGGCGTCGGATGAGGCGGCGATGAGCGAGGACGAGGTGGAGGAGGTGGCGCCGCCGCTTCAAAGCTCCGCCGCTGCCGCTGATACGCTCGAAGGCGGCGACGTGCAGATCTCCGCTGCATCAGGCGCCCGTCCGTCGATAGTCGCCATGAGATGCCCTGTCTCACCGAATGCAGCACTATGCTGCACAGGCTTGCTGCCCGAGCACCTGCCGCACCAGCGGGCGCTCTGCCCGCTCCACCCCTTCCATGCAACCGAGAGGCTGGTCGCGGCGCCAGTCGATGGCAACGAGGCGGCTTGCCCCAACTGCTACTGCCTCATCTGCGACGCGCGCGTGTCCGAGTGCCGCCACTGGCGGGGCGGCGACCCAGCGCATTGCAACGCGCACGGCGACAGCGCATTCTGGCGCCAGAAGCGCGTCAACGCCAAGCGGCAGCGCACGCGGGCGATGCGGGCAGCGCAAGCGTCGGTCGACCCGCAGCTTGCGCTGCCTTCTCGATCTGGTCTGAGGAGCGGGCTTGGGTGAGAGTGTTCGAGCGTCAGCGTGCGCGTAGGGCGGCGCACCGGCGGGCTCTCCGCGCACACAGTCGGTGCGCATTATGGCACTCCGGCTGTGCATTATGGCACTCTGTGGACTGTGTGCTAGTCTCCCGGTCGACCAGGGACCGACCACGACGCACGAGCGAGGTACAAAAAAAACTCTGACATTTTACGAACTCCTTGGCGACGCGCGCGCCGCGTCGCCAAGGCTCAGCGACCTCGGTCGTACAATCGGCCGGCTGCGCGGGTTTTCGGCGAGTTTCCCGCGCACCGGCCACGACGGACCAACCAGACCAAAAATCGCGACGCTCGCGCGCAAAAATCAGCACGGAATCAACGCTCACGACGCTCTCGATGATCTCGATGATTCGAGGATTTGAGGATGGTGAGGGGTGAGGGTGAGGTGTGCCCCCCCCCTCCCCCCCCGCCCGGCCTCGAACCCGCAGCCAACCGGCCCGAATGCGAACCTCTGACCGCTACGCCAGCCACCAATGCACAAACCTCGACGCCACAAATTTCTGAACCCCATACACCCATGCACTCAGCTCACAATCAGCACCCTACACAGTATGATTCCCGCGCGTCTCGCGCCCCAACTGACAACTCACCATTGTCCCTCGGACACCACTCTCCAGCCGCGCTACTTTCGCCCACCCACCGCTCTCGCATGACATCTCGACAATCCTCATCTCTGGCCCCAAGACTCCTAACCACTTCCCCTGCTCGCCCAGGACCACGAAGCGCCGCCCGCGCGCCCATTACCCCCCAATCAACCCACGCTGTCCCTCAATCGCCACCCGCCAGATGTACTGCCCTCGCCCACCCAATACTCTCACCCTCCTAACCCGGACAGTCCAGGTACAGGAAAAGCGGGGAGCGGGGCCCGATCCAAGGAGCACCCCGTCGGCCCGGGAGGGCTGTGAATTTCGGCGCGGGCGGAAGGCTGCCTGCAGACGCTCAGCCCCTGGCTGAGCTGCCGAATCCTCCCGGCTAATCCCCTGACCTGCCGCCTGAAACGGGACAACATTACACCACCTCACACACACTCCCCCCTCAGGGCTAAGCAGTGCGCAAGTCCACCCGAACTCTAGGCGAGGCGTCGACCACTCCTTCGGAATAGCTCTGTCAGTGGCTGCACTAGACGCCCAGTGATGGCGCGCGGCGCGGGCGGATGACTGGAAGAGAAAATGCGGAGATGCTAGCTCGCAGGTAGATGTGCTCAGCCAAGGGTCGGGGATGAGGGGAATGTGTCAGTGTGAGGGGTGCACCAACCGCAGAGCGTTGTGTTTTGCCTTTGAAAACTGAACAGTTTTTTTTCACGAGCGAGGTACGGCAATCGGCACATGGGGCATGTGCGAAGATAAAAAGAATTTTCGTTCGCTCAGTGCTGTCTGCTGTATATCACATGACCAACGAGGCAATCGTCAGGCGCGAGTCATCTGGGGCCCCACAGTCGCTGTGCAGCGAGAGAGATCGAGCTCTAAACACGCACAAGGCTTTTTGATTCCTGGGTGTGCGGGCCGGAAGTTCGAGCCCCGCCCCGCCCGCCCCCCCCGCCGCCCACCCTGCCTGCCGCTCTCCCGCTCAGATGCCCCTTGCCCGCCATGCGGCGGCGGGGCGCGTCGGGCTTCGGCGGCCTCCGGCGGAACGGCTCGTGGTGGAAGTACTTTGGCCTCCGGTCGAACTGGACGTGCAGCCATGGCACACCTGTCCCCTCGGTCGAGACCCACGTCGGCGCTTTGTCGCATTCTTCCACGTCTCGCGCTCACGCTGAGAAAAATATTCTGAAACGGCGTGCAGCAGAGTCGCCGACGAGTCGGTCCGCGTGCCTCCTCGTGTCGCGCATCGTTCTCACCCATCCATAAACTCACTTTGGCCTCACTGAAGCGATGCCTCAATCCCGAATCCTCAGATTTTAGATTAGGACGCTGCGGACCCTCTAGCAGCGGCCGGGCCCACAAGTGAACCCTCAAGCGCGGCTCAACCCCCAAGAGCGGTGTCGGGCGGGCAGTCGGGGGGCGCGAGAGCTGCGTGGCCGACCGCCCCGAGATCCAGTCGCGATATCGTATCACATACGACGAGCGCGGTGCATCCATGTACAAAAAAACAGAGAGTACAAATAGCGTCTACCAGCGCGTGCCCCAGATGCTGTGCATCCTGCATGCACCTGGCACGCGCCCGGCCCCGAGTCACCGCTGCATGGAGAGACGCCGACCGATGCGGGAAGGGGGAGGGGCTCGGATGTCGAAAGAGGGTACAGTGCCCGCGCCGCACCGAGGAGGATAAGGCTCGAAGGGAAGCGACTCTTCGGCAGCCGGAGAGCCGTCTGACGGAGGCCGGTCGTGCATCGGCGCGTCGGCCGTAGAGGCCGTAGGGGCGTCGGGGCGGCCTTCAGCTAGTCGTGTGCCTCAGGTCCATGCCGGGCGGCAGCCCGCACTCTGCAAAGTGGGGCGTCGAGGTCGCCTGCGGGGGAAGGACAGTGCGGTGAGCCAACCTCCTCCCCACGCTAGTGCGGCCGGCGCCGGCGCGTCTCCACGCCCCGTGGCATTGAACGGTGCAGGGTCGTCCGGTGCACGTGTGCGTGCGTGCGTGTGCGGTCTCGGCGTGCTTCCCTTGGCAGGGCGAGTGGCGGCGGGGGGGCAGACCCATCGGCCGGTGACAAGTGGGTCCTGTCTCTAGCCTCGGTGGGGGGGGGGGGCTCGTCGCGACGTGTCTTCTCTCTTTTGGCCTGCAGGTGCGAGGTCAGGAACGCGAAGGCCTCGTCCACGTCGTCGGTGAAGAGCAGCTCGTCGACGTCGCGCTGGTTGATGGTGCCCGAGTCGGCGAGCGCCTGACGAGATACGGCGAGAGGTGGCGAGAGGTGGCGAGAGGTGGCGAGAGGTGGCGAGAGGTGGGGAGAGGTGGGGAGAGGTGGCGAGAGATGGCGAGAGGTTGCGAGATGTTCCGACGGCGAGCGCCTGACGGGCACTCAACTCGGCACCTCCTCCTTTTGCGTCGAGTCCTCGGTCGAGAGGCGAGGCGAGGGCTTTCGACAGGGAAGCAGGGCTCGCCAGCTCTCTGCGCATCTCTGCGCATCTCTGCGCATCTCTGCGCATCTCTGCGCATCTCTGCGCATCTCTGCGCGGCGCCTGCCAGTTGACCACCTCCTGCCAGAACTGCTTTCCGAAGAGCACCACCGGCAGCCCCGACTGCATCTTGCCGGTCTGCTTGAGCGTCATCAGCTCGAAGAGCTCGTCGAAGGTGCCAAAGCCGCCGGGCGCAACCACGAGCGCCTGCATGTGGTAGGCCATCGAGAACTTGCGCGTGAAGAAGTAGTGGAACTCGAAGGCCAGCTCCGGCGTGACGTACGGGTTGAGCCCCGTCTCGAACGGCAGCGTGATCCCCATCCCGACCGACTTGCCGCCCGCGTCATGCGCGCCGCGGTTGGCCGCCTCCATGAAGCCCGGCCCGCCACCGGTACACACGTAGATGCCGGGCGCGTCCGCCGGGCGCGGGTAGGCGTCGTCGGTCGAGTGCGGCAGGTAGGCTGACTTGCGCCCCCCGGCTGGCGACTTGCGCCCCTCCTCGATCAGCCGCGCCGTGGTCGCGCGCGAGACGCCCGAGACCTGGTTGGCGAGCGAGTACTTTGTCTTGATCGACCACTCCGTCACGCGCTGCGCGAGCTGCCGGATCTTCTCCATGTACTCGCACATCCACTCTGACTTTTGCAGCCGCTCGAGCGTCCCGCGTGCGAGCGCCTGCTCGCTTGACCCGTCGGGCGCCTCCGCCACCGCCTTCCGGCTCTTGGCGAGGGCGTCGTCGTACTGAGCGCGGTCCTTGGAGCGGGCGGAGCCGAAGAACATTATTGTGGCGCGTATGCCGTTGGCGCGGAGCCGCTGCATCGTCTCCTCGTACTCGCACAGGATGCGCAGGTGCCGCGCGTGCGAGGAGGAGAGGAACGCCTCGTTCTTGTACGCCTTGGTGACCGGGACCGCAGGCCGGTCCCAGTCCGAAGGGTCCCTGTGGTACATCGGCTTGGGCTCCTCAGTGGTCGAGGTCGCCTCGGCGACGCCAGGCAGCTTTCCGAGGTCGGACATGTTTGTTTCGCCGAGTTTTTTATCCGGGGTGCTTTTCTTTAACAGTGGCCAGGGGCGGGGCTTGCATTTTTGCCGTCGTCGCCAGTCGCCCCCCCAAACGCTACAGCGGGGGCGGCGGCGGCGGCGGGGGCGGCGGCGGCGGCGCGACGGGGTGGGTGGGGTGTGGGGAGGTGCTGCTGTGTGCGCGCTGCGCGTGCGCGCACCGCACACCATACTCGAGTACGGCGGGAAACAGACGGCGAGGGGGGCGCGGCGGCAGCGGCGGCAGAGCGCGCGCGCGCGGCGCGCGCGACGGAGGGGCGGAGCAGCGACCGCGCGCGCGGTCGCTGCTCCGTCTATCCCGGAGCGCCGTCTGCGCGGGGTGCGCGTCAGGAGAGGGGGCAAGCGTGGCGGCGCGGGACGCGCGGCGGCGGCGGCGAGCAGCCGAGCGCTCCGTGCGCGGTGAGGCGGCCGGGCGAGGGCGCGGCGGGTGACGGGGGAAGGGAGCAGCCGGGCGACGAGAGGTAGGAGGTGCTCGCCGGCGAGCGCTCCCGCGCCTGCGGAGGGGCAAGGCCTGAGGGCGGGCGGGCGGGCGGGCGGGCGCGGGGGGGGGGGGGGATAAACGCTGCGCCGCCCCCGCACCAGCGACACCGGCCGCGGCTCGCCTCCACGCGCCGGCTCGGAAGAGGGGCTGTCGGCGGCGCAGCAGAGCGGCACGCCTCGGCGCTCGAGCCGCCGACAGCCCCACTCCTCGACGTGACGGCCGCTCCCGGAGCCAGCCGGTGCGCGCCCGACCCACGCCCCCTCTCGCACCCCTCCGACCCCCCCTGCGCGGCGCAATCGCCCGCTGTGCGCCGGCTCGAGCGCCTATTGCCAAATCGCGACGTTTGAGCGCAGCGCACGCGTCCCACACGTCACGCGCGCGCAGGAGAGCGTGCGGCACAGCTGTAGCGTGTACTCGCCGAGGGCATCGCGCCGAAAACCCCGCGCATTCCGCCCCAGCAGAGGCTGCAGCCTCTGCGACAAAAACACCACTGTAAAACGGTGAGTACTTGGGGTTGAGTGGGCTTGCTTGCTCCCTTAGCCGGGAGCAAAAATGCAAGAATACGTTCATGGACCTCGCCCAAGCACAGGCCACCGCCGACTTGGAGGGCCTGGTGCTCGTGTGCTGCGCTGGAAACTCAACTGGGTTCAAGGGTGTTCGAGCGCGTGTGGCAACGGATTTCTAGGCTCCTACGAGGATCCCGTTGGGAGGCGGGGAAAAAGAAGGGAAAGAATTCTTGATCTTTTATCGTAACCCGATGCCGAGCGTCTGGCCAACTGGGTGCGCTTCTTACTTAGCTCCCCGGTCCTGGGCGTGAGGTTGATGACTGCACTCCAAGTGCTCCTTACGACTACGTCGTTACTCGACTAAGTCGAGGGGGGGGACGTCGGGCCGCCCAAAGCCCGCCTCAGGCACTCTCTCTCCCTAACCTCCTAGCCTTCTCCCGGTCCCGCCTACCGTACGGGGTGTGGAGGCGGTGAGTTGACCAGGGGTTGTGCGCCGGGCCCTCCTGCTCGGCTCCAGCCAGTAGACAAGTCTTGTCATCAACAGAGGAGATGGATCTGACCTCGGGGCCCCGATGTGACCAAGCGCTGGTACTGTGGTTTTACCTCCCAGCCACGGTCTCACAGTGTGCCGGCAGTCGCCGAGCAGTTTGTCGCTCACACAAGCCGCAGCACAAGTGACTGAGGGCCAGTGAGGGCGAGCCCATCGCTGTCACAGCTGTGGCAGCCGCACAGTAGGCTGTGCCATCTGTGCAGAGCGTGTGAGCAGCAGAGGAGCTGCACTCCAGGGGGTTCAGTCGCAAAGAGATGCATGCCACCGAGAAGGCGCTGTGCCGCTGTCGAGGTTCGCCGAGCTTGGCGAAATCCGGGGACGCCGTTACCGACGAGTGCGTTGGACTTTTCAGTCCGGACAAAGACGGCTACACGCACACGAGCCGCGGTCGTGTACCCGTCTTAGCGGCGAGGCGCGGGAGAGCCGCCGTCTGTGTGGCGAAGTCGTGGCGGGCGCGTCCCCGGATCGTCGTCCGTCAACTGTGTACCCTCCACATGAGCACTGTGATTGCGGCCGTCCACGATAACGTCGTCTTCTCTTGAGAACGTCCTACGACCCCCTTCTGGTGTCGACTATCCCGTCTTCCGCCGGTGAGCGTTTGAGGTCAGGCGTCACAGAAGAGGAGGCCCTTGGCGTGCGGCGATCCGAGGACGACTTTGGCGCCGACGCGGAGCGCACTGGAGACGCCGTCGAGCGCCGTGCCGTCGTGCGTCAAGATGTCCGTCTGGCGGCCATCGACGAACGACTTGCCTCTCGCGCTCTCGCCGGTGCCGAGCAGCCCGATCTCAAGGAGGCCTCCGGGCTGGGCGCCGCAGCTGACCGGCCGGCCGCTGACGACCTTGGACGCGCTCAGTGCCGGCGCCTCCTGGCACACGCTCGCGGAGGCGTACGGGAAGGGGATGGTCCCAGCGTGCAGCGCGCCGTCCGCCGTCATCTCGAGGTTGTCCACGATGTGCTTGAGCCCGAAGGACGACACCTCCTCCAACGAGCCGTCAGGCTGGCGCGCCAGCACCGTGAGCCGCTGCGCCGGCGCATCGTTCACGAAGACCGTGTGCCGGTCGTCCGAAATCGCGATGCCGTTCGCGCCGACGAAGCGCGCGGAGCTCGCGACGCTGCACCGCTGCGTACTGACGGTGCAGCGGAAGACCCGCGTGAGCGGGACTTTGAAAAAGGTGAGCGGCGAGCTGAGGGCCCGCTTGAGCCTGAGCTCGAGCGGAGCGCTGCTGAGGCCGCGCTTGCCGCCAGCAGGGAAGGCCGCCGCCTGCCACTCGGTGACGTAGACCTCGTCCTTTCCCGCGCCCTCGACGACGTCATTGAGCGCGAAGTTGGCGAAGAGCGGCGACCGGATCGACCCCGCGTGCTTGAGCGAGACGCCGTCTTCTTCGAGCACGTCAAAGACCTCGATCGACTCGCCCGTAGCCTCGTCGTGGTTCACGCCGTAGAGTCGGCGGCTCCTGGCCGAGAAGTAGATCCCGTGGAGCACGAGCTTCGGCGGCTCGCCGAGGATCGGCAGCGGCGTGACCTTGGTGCCCTCCACGAGGTAGATGGCGCCGGCCACGGCCTGCTCCGATCCGAGGGCAAAGGTGCTCCAGAGATCCCCGCCGCCGGCAAACAGCGCCCCGGGCCGGAAGGCCGTGAGGTCCTCGCAAGGCGTCGGGAGCTGGTGCAAAGCGCAGGCCTCCGCCGCCGCGAAGCCGAGCTCCTTGCCGTACGCGAGCGTCCCGAGGTTGGCCTGCACGAGGTACCCGAGGGCCACGGCCACCGCCAGGACAGCCCAGCCGCACACGCTCATCGATCGCGAATTGGACAGCCAATGCACACTCTCGAGGTTCTCGAGGTGGATATCCTTTGGCCGCGTTGGGTAGCGAGGATTGGTGTAACCCGAGCCACGGAGGGCGTGTTTTAATAGACATACCAAAAGGAGGGCTACACGACGCCCTCTACGCTGGGGTGCCGGCGCCCTACTGGGCGCCCCCCGCTCCCTTCCCCTCAGAGCCCCCCATCCCACTAGCATTCCCCCGCGGTCCCTCGCGGTCGCGCGACGCCGCACCAATGGCGCGCTGTGCCTCGTCCGCGAGCGCCACCCAGAGCTGCACCGACAGTCGCTGCAGCGCAAACGGCATCCATTCGCGCGCCGACCACGACGTCTGGTCGTACTGCCACCACGTGAGCTTCCGGCCCGCCACCTCAGCCACCCGCATCAGCAGCTCCTCCACCCCCGCGCTCATTGCGCCGAACTCCTCGAAGCGTGTTTTCTGGCCGACCGTCAGTGCACGGAGGCCACTCGTTTTTCTTTTTTAAGCCCTCACCACCCCGCGCCCGCCGCCCCCCCGACCCCCGCCCCGCCTAGGTGGGAAAGAGACGAGGAGATGGAACAGCCCGAGGAAAGGAGGAGACAAACACGTATGGGAGGTTTCGTTGTGCACCACGCTGCCCGGCGTTTCTCATTTTTAGAAGCCAACAAGAAATGTGTCACACAGAGTGATTTGCGCTTCTTCTCTCATTTTCCGGGACAGCGGCCCCGCCCTTGTTGTAGGTTTGTTGTTGGCAAATCAAGACACAGAGCTCACACAGAATCACAGCGGGAAAAGCGGCGAGTCGCAATTCCTGGGGTCCTTGTGGCGGGCCACCCTGTCCAGAGAGGCATGGATGCCAATCTGGGGTCTCTCGACCGAGTCTATGAGTCCTGGGACCTGGCCGCTCCCGGTGGTGGCAAGGTTAAGCAACCAAGCGACGGAGATGGTGCGGGGGTACGGGTGTTCCAGGAGGTCACGTCGACACGCACCGACCCTTCCATGGCGAAGGCGTAGGGGCGGGAAGGGGGATGGCGGAAGTCGACATGGGCCGGCGGTGGGTGGTTCGGGAGGGCGGGGGGGAGGGCGGGGGGGAGGGCGAGGGGTGGGGTAGGGGGGCGGTGGTGGAGAGGGGAAGCGAAGGGGAGGGTGGCGGCGGGGGAGGCAGCGTGAGGGTGGCGGAGGCAAGGGGGAGGAGGAGGGCGGCGGAGGTGTGGGCGGCAGTGCCGGCGGGGTGGTGGAGGTGGTGGGCGGCGGAGGCGTGGGCGAGGCTGGAGGGCGGCGGCGGCGTGAGCGGCGGCGGCGGCGGCGTGGTGGAGGTGGGGGCTGGCAGCGGCGTGGCCGTGGGGGAGGCTGGAGGGCGGCGGCGGCGTGAGCGGCGGCGGCGGCGGCGTGGTGGAGGTGGGGGCTGGCAGCGGCGTGGCCGTGGGGGAGGCTGGAGGGCGGCGGCGGCGTGAGCGGCGGCGGCGGCGGTGTGGTGGAGGTAGAGGGTCCTTGTGAGGCAGGAAAGTGGCGGCTACCCCGTACGCCCAGCCTGCTTCGACCCCCTCCCCTCTGCTCGGCGCCGCGACTTTTTTTTCCTCAGTCCCGTCCAATGTTCTGCAGCACCTCCGCGCTCTCCGCGCTGCACGTGAAGGACGCCACGCTGTCCGCGCTGCACGTGAAGGACGCCACGGCTCTCGAGCGCACCTTTGCGCACCTGACGGCTCCAGCGCTCGAGACGCTCGAGATGGGACTCGGTGGGCGCACACCAGACACAGCGCGCACGATCGGCCGCGCCCTGCTCCGAAGAAAGGTGCACGCTGTCCTCGACAAGAGCAATGGTTTTGGAGATGTGGAGGCTGGACTGGACATTGCGCTGCCAGAGGCGATGCGTTCGCGCTGCCTTAAACAGTACGGAGGCCTCTCGCCGACGACCTGGCGTGATTGTCTGAGTCGTCTGAAGACGCTCTCCGGCGATTCGCGCGAGCAGCTGTGGTCATACGTCATCGCCCACCCGATGACAGAGTACGTCCCCAACCAGTGTCAGCGCTGCGGGCACATCGTTCCCGACGAGACGACGCCAGGTTACACCGACGCCGAGGTCGGCATCAGTGAAGTTCCTCCGACAGCCTCAGAGCGGCCGTTCGTGCGCGGCGGCTACTATCGGGGCGCGCGCTCCGCGGTGGCATTCCTTCTGCGGTGCCCTGAGTGCGGGGACGAGTCGCGCTGGTTCCGCTCGTCGGCCGCACAAGTGATCCTCAACCCCAACCGATGGGGCCGCTTGTGTGGCGAGCAGGAGGACTTGCGCGCCGCGCTCGCCCGCCACTTGAGCGTGCCGCTTCGCGCCATCTTGCCACTCGATTGGGATCACGTTTGGTCGGAGACGCGGCGCGAGGCGGACGGCGCGTGGGTGGCCTGCCAGGGGCCCGGAGATGCGCCGGCGGCCAACTTTGCGGGCCGGCTGGATGAGGGCATCGGCGCTTGGACTCGAGTCATCGCCGTTAGCGCGGACGTGGAGGGGACTTCCGATGTGACCGAAGAGTACCTCTCCTGCTGCAGCGCGGGTGGGCGCGCCGACGAGAGGCTGGACGAGGAGATGCCGCGGTACAGGGAGACGGTGAGCGCCGCACGCGCGGATGCGAGCGGGAGCGCCACGCAGGCTAAGACGCTCAACGGGCACGTGCTGCACCGCGCCGGCTTCGGACGTGAGGAGGTGACTTGCATTCTGAGGCAGGCGGTCGTGGATCATGGCGTGGTGGGCTGGTGGGAGTGGCAGGAGGAGGAGGAGGAGGAGGAGCGAGGAGGAGGAGGAGCGAGGAGGGGGCTGACGAGAAATGCCAGGCCACAGGTGTGAATCGTGCGTGTGCAGAAAGAAAGAAAGCAGAAAGTTATTTTTCAAAAGGAAAAAAGAAACCCGACCTAGGCGAGGCTGCGGGGCGGGGGGCCCGGGGGCGCGCGGGCGCGGAGTGCGGTGCGGTGTGGGGGTGTGTGCGTGTCGTGCGGCTACAGCAGATGACCGTCGGTGTCCGTCTGTATTATTACGTATGTATGTAGTAAGGTGAAGAACAGCCTTGAGCTCTGTGTCTTGTTTGCCAACAAGCGTCTAGCGCGCGCGTGAAGAGGGCTCCAGGCCCCAAATGACGTGTGTGGTGTGAGTGTTAGAGTTGTTTGGTATTGCTAAAAATCTCTCTCTCTACACCTTAGAGTAGGTAGGTAGAAAGGTGAAGAACAGCCAGGCTCGGACTGGACACCAACGCGGTATGGGTGGACGCTGGACAGATGATGACGGCACGCACGAGCGACACACAGACACAAACAGGCTCACAAGACACACAGCCAGCTGGCTGCCACACACCCTGAGTCGGCGTACACATAACTCAGGGCCACATCCTCCCTGTCGCCCCCCCCAGCACTCCACGGTGCCAAGGGCACAAACAAGGGCACAACTCAAACCTTAGAGCCAAACAAGGAGCTCTCAAAAAGAAAGAAACACCGCGAGCGCTCAAGCGTCGGGCAGGTCCTCTGAACACACGATGCTCCTCTCCTCGACTGGTGGCTCCACCTCCCCGCCCCTCACGGCGGACGCCCTCTGCTCTCCGCCTCGCGGCTGGCCGGGCTGCTTCAAGCAGCGGGCGCTCAGCAGCTTCGTCGGCGCGGGCGTGCTACGCGGCCGGCGCTGCCGCCTGACGGCCCGCCCGCCGCACAAGCTGACAGCCGAGGCGGCAGCGGCCGGCGTGCGTCTGAGTGCGGACGACTCCTGCGCCAACGCCGCGGCGGTCCACGCTGCCCTTGGTCTCCCGGTGGTCAAGGGCTACGCGGTCTTCGAGCTCCGCGACCGTCCCGGCGTCTTTGCCGCCGCGCGCCGCCACTGGAACGCCGCCGCAGCCTCCGGAGCGTGGGTCGACCTCACGCCGCGAGCCGAGGAGCTCGCGAGCATGGTGCTGGTCGAGTCCGAACTCGTCGCCCACGGCTCCGGCGGTGCGGACCCTCCCGCCGCCGCCGCGCCACCGCCGCCCGCCGCCGCCGCCGCCGCCGCCACCGCCGCCGCCGCGGTCGAAGCCGCTTCGTCGGCAGAGCCGGAGGGTCGGTGGAGGCCGGAGGGTGCAAAGAGGCCGCTGTCGAGCCTGTCGCTGCTGGAGGTGCGGCGGGCGTGGGAGGAGCTCGAGGGCAGCGCCGACTTTCGCGCAGACGTCTCGCTCCTCCGGACCGATCAGCAGCTGCGCACCTACCTGCTGGAGCTGCACGAGGAGGACAGCGAGAAGCTGCGGCTGATCCAGCTGCACGCGGCCGCGTTCGCGTCGCTCCACCGCGAGCTCGCCTCCGGCCCCCCGCTGCGCAAGCCGCCGCCGCCGCCGCGGCCCGGCGAGGCCAATGCGCGCGGCGGCGGCGGCGGCGAATCGGGCGGCGGCGGTGTGTTGGTCGTGTCCCGGCCGACGCCTCTCGCACGCTCGCTCAAGAGTGCGGAGGAGCGGGAGGCCGAGCTGCACTGCAGCATGGCGACGGTATGGCGCTCGTCCAAGGGCGTCAAGCATGGCCGCATCCGGCTCAGGCTGCAGCCGCGAGCCGCGACGCCGAGCGGCGAGGGCGGCGAGGGCGGCGAGGGCGGGCTGAGGGGCGAGGGCTTGCCGAAGTTTGAGCTCGAGGCGCAGGCATGGAGCACGCTGTACGACGAGGGGGACGTGGACGCCGCCTTCTTCGCCCCTCTCGACGAGGACGACGCGTTAGTCGTGCACGCTAGCACTACCCTCTACCCTCTCTCACCTTCTGTCCCCCCCCTCCCCCCCTTCCCCTCTCCTGCGACCCCCCAGGCTAGATGGAGTAGTCAAGAGATGAAGATTCTGCCCCACACAGCCCCTTACCCCTTCACCCTCGCCTCGCTGCTTGGTGTTTCTGAACGTAGTCGTCCACGCTGTGGGGGTTGTGTGCGGGTTGTGTCTGGGAGGGAGGGAGTGGGGTGCAGGTCTGCTCACCCACGGCACCGGGCCGGTGCTTGCACTTTGAATGCCGTGGGGCTCCTGCCCGTGTGTCCGGGCGTGGAGATGCGAGGGCTGCCCTGGCCCTCGCACCACCACCTCGTGTGTGTGTGGAGACGTTGACCTTACCTGACCTGACCTTAGGATGACGAGGGAGCTGCACAGCTGCGCTGCGCCGGAGTGTGGGAGAGCTCGCCCTACGGCTTCACCCTCGTGCTCCGCTCGGTGGAGGAGGTTGGGCCGGCCGGCGCACGCGCGCTGCTGCCGCTGCGAGAGGCCGAGCTCCGTGCCGCCGCAGGCCGCGCCGCCTAGAAGCGCTAGATGCGGGATGCGGATTCTCGTCTCCCAACTGGCGCTCGAGAGGACACGGAGTCAGGTGTCTTCGGGCCGTACTCAGCCGCATTCACTGAACTCGCAGCCCTCGGATTCACGCGATTCTCTGAAGACTCTGCAGAATACCGCCTTTCCGCCCCGATGCTGGCGTATTCCGCACGTAGGCCGCACCCTCGACCGGGATCTCTTTGGCACGATGGACTTCGACGAGCGCAAGGCAACCGTCGGGGTGGGGGAGCGGCGCGAACGCAGGCTCGTCTTCACCATGTGACTTCGAGGCGGTCGCTCGCTCCGTCGGCGACTCGACGGTCGTTGGGTCTCGGCTTGCTTGCACTCTCATCGCGTTTTTAAGCACAGGCCACACCACTCACCAGGCCGTGAAGTTCGTGAGGGGCCATCCTGGGCGCGTCACCGCCGTGTGTATTGTCTATTGATCGTTTTGCTTTTGGCCCGCGCATCCCTGGTTGCTGGTATCCACACTTCTGTGAACCATTTGAAGAAGGCTCCTACCACCTGTTCCTTCCCTTCCGCATCAGCGTCATCCATCGGCTTTCTCAGCCGTTTGAAAGATGTCGTCACCAAACCTCTTGCGAGCCTCAATGTCCATCCTATCAGGCAGAAGACACGACCCCCCTCCGCTCTCGCCATGCCTCGTCTGACTCTCAAAAGTTCAGCTTCCCATGTCATCTGGATCTCTCTCTCGTTGTACCACACACACACACACTCACTCGTGCAGTCGCTTGCAGAGCGTGAAATTTCACTGCGTCATTCCACTTCATTTCGCGGATGACCAAACGACGAGACGGAACGAGTCCATTCGCTCTGCTCGTGCCGACGGTCGCTCTGCTCGTGCCGACAAAAGACGAGACGGAATGATGCTCGTGCCGACGGTCGCTCGAGCGCTTGCTCCGGCGCTTCCGTTGCGGCCAGCTGCTGTCTCGCCACCAGCATATGCCATCCCGTCTCACCCGTGCCTTCAACGCGTCCACGGTGAGCCGGCGCCCGTCTACATCATCCCAGACTTTCTGAGCGGCGACGAATGCGAGGCCCTGATCGACGCGTGCGGCACCCTGCCAGAGGTGCGATATATCGAGCACGAAGAGAAGAAATTCTCAATCGGCTGGCTCAAAGCCGCCCCCAGTCTGTCACTGCTCGCTCTTGCTAGCGCGACTGCCCTCTCTCTCGGGGCAGGCTACTCTCCGTCGGAGGCTCTGCTTGCTACCAGCGGTGCCGTCACAGGCGTATGCGGTCTTGCGCACGGTGTATCGACACTCGTCGCGAACAGCGACAGGGTGCAGATCTTCACCGGCACCAAATGGGACGCCTCTGGCCACCACGCGGAGAAGCTCTTCCTCGCTCGAGCCGGCGCGCTCTTCGGCCACATGCCTCGCGACCGCTTTGAGCCGGTGACCGTCACGCGGTACAAAGAGGGAGAGTATCAGCGCAAGCACGTCGACGCCAGGCTCGACGCGATGCGGGACGAGGCCTTCGGCTCGACCGGCCTCGGTCAGCGCATCGCGCAGGTCATCGTCTATCTCCGATCGCCCGAAGCCGGCGGAGAGACGGCTTTCCACGGGGACGCCTTTAGCGAGTGGCGTCCTCGGGCGGAGGTTCAGCCTGTGGCGGGCCAGGCCCTCGTCTTCCCGACGGCAACGCTCGATGGCGTGCCGGACGAGAGGTACGTGCACAGCGGCGAGGCGGTGAAGCGCGGAGAGAAGTGGATCGTGGGCACGTGGCTCGTGCAGGAATGATTTAAGCTTTTTTTCTTCGACCAAAGTACAATTGTAACCCGCCTCGGCTCTGTCGCCGGCCGCGCTTTCGGGCCGGCGAGCATGGGCGAGCCCAGCAGCCAGGACGCAGCGCCTCCTCTGCAGGACGCAGCGCCTCCGACGCTCTTCCAAGAGATCATGGCCCAGTGGGAGTGGCTGCAGCAGGCGCACGACTATGTCGTGGCGATGCCCGCGCTGCGCGAGCGCGTCAGCTCCTTCCGCAAGTCGGCGTGGGAGTTCACGTCGACGGCAAAGGCAGCCGCGCCCGCGCGCCGAAGCCTCGGCCGCACCCTTTGCAGCGTTCCCCCACCCACCCCCCACCCCCCAGGGGACCTTTCCCGCCCGCACCCACCCCTCCTCCCAGCTGCCTCTCGCTCCCGCGCTGCCTCCCTCACCCCAACCAATAGCCCACCCACCGCACGACCACCCACTCGACGCCACTCGCGCAGAGCACTGGGCCGCGCTGCTCGCCTTCCGGCTGCTGCAGGCGCACGACCAGCTGAGCGCGATTGCCCCACTGGCTGACATTAGCCTCCCTGCACCGTCGCTTCAGCTCGGCGACGGAGAGGGAGGCGGAGAGCTCCTTCGTGGTCTCGTCCTCGTCCTCCGAGTCGCTCGGGTCGTCCTCCGACGAGCCGTACGCGGCCGCCGCCTGCTGCAGGCGCACGACCATACTGGCTGACGTTCGTAACTGATTTCCAAGCGTCCGGGACAAAATGCGCAGAATTTCCGCTAGCTTTGAGAGCATCCCGCAGGGGGGGGGGGGGGGGGGGGCACTTAGCACGTGAAACAAGAATCTTACAACAAAACTCCCTCGCACGACACTGGGCACAGGACTGGGCACGGGACTGGCTCGCACTGGCACTAACACAGGTACACCATGAAACAAGAAACAGCCCGCAAGCCACAGCGCTGGCGGGCCGCACAGCGCACACAGGCCGGTCTTGGCGTCTCCGGGAGGCGATGCCGCGTGCGCCGCGGGTACAATTCACGCCGGGCGGCATCCCCGCCCTCATCGCCGGCACTCACGAGCAGCGCCGCGGCCGCAGCCTGAGTTCGAGCTCACGGCGGGCGGGATCGCAGCCGTGCGCCTCAGCCGGAGCGGCGCCAGCGCCGGCGTTACCGGCCGCTGCCTCAACGGCTCGCTCTGCAGTTGCCGCTCCCACCCCGACGCCGTCCGCCCCGCCGACTCCGGCGCTGGACCTGAGCAGCTTCTTCGACGCGGCTGCGCCTGCAGAGGCGTCGCTGAGCCTCTTTGCTGGCGCCGGAGTGGCGTCTGTGGAGGCGGGAGGTGTGGTGCAGTCAGCGGGGGTGGCGGTCAGGGTCACGGAGGAGGCTGAGGCAGCGGAGGCGGTGAGGGTGGCGGCGAGAGAGGCGGAGGAGGCAGCGGCGGCAGCGGCAGCGAGGGAGGAGGCGGCACGAGCGGCGGAGGAGGCGGAGGCGGCGGCGGCGAGGGAGGAGGAGGCGGCGGCGAGGGCGGCGGAGCAGGAGGCGGCGAGGGCGGCGGAGGAGGCGGCGGCGAGGGTTGCGGAGGAGGCGGCGAGGGCGGCGGAGGAGGAGGAGGCAAGGGCGGCGGAGGAGGCGGCGGCGAGGGCGGCGGAGGCGGCGGAAGAGGAGGCGGCGAGGGCGGCGGAGGCGGCGGCGAGGGCGGCGGAGGAGGCGGCGGCGAGGGCGGCGGAGGAGGAGGCGGCGGCGAGGGCGGCGGAGGAGGAGGCGGCGGCGAGGGCAGCGGAGGAGGAGGCGGTGAGGGCCGCAACAAAGGCAGCGGAGGCGGCCGCGGTGGCAGAGGCAGCGACGGCGGCAAGGGCGGAGGACGAGGCTGCGGCAGCGGAGGCGGCTACTGCCGAGGCGGAAGAGGCGAGAGCTGCAGAGGCGGCGGCAGCGGCCGCGGCCGCGGCCGCGGCGGCGGAGGAGAGGGACAGTCTCGACTCGCTCGACCACCTCTTCTCCCTCGGCACACCCGAGGCGCGTGCTGTCGCTGCCACCCCAACGCTTCCGCTCGTTGCCCATTCGCCCCCCTGCCTCCCGATGTGCAGGGCCCACCCGGCGACACTGCTCGCGACAGCAACCTGGACCAGCTCTTCTCAGCTGCGCCCGCACAGGACAGCAACCTGGACCAGCTCTTCTCAGCTGCGCCCGCACAGGACAGCAACTTGGACCAGCTCTTCTCAGCTGCGCCCGCACAGGACAGCAACCTGGACCAGCTCTTCTCAGCTGCGCCCGCACAGGACAGCAACCTGGACCAGCTCTTCTCAGCTGCGCCCGCACAGGACAGCAACTTGGACCAGCTCTTCTCAGCTGCGCCCGCACAGGACAGCAACTTGGACCAGCTCTTCTCAGCTGCGCCCGCACAGGACAGCAACCTGGACCAGCTCTTCTCAGCTGCGCCCGCACAGGACAGCAACCTGGACCAGCTCTTCTCAGCTGCGCCCGCACAGGACAGCAACTTGGACCAGCTCTTCTCAGCTGCGCCCGCACAGGACAGCAACTTGGACCAGCTCTTCTCAGCTGCGCCCGCACAGGACAGCAACCTGGACCAGCTCTTCTCAGCTGCGCCCGCACAGGACAGCAACTTGGACCAGCTCTTCTCAGCTGCGCCCGCACAGGACAGCAACCTGGACCAGCTCTTCTCAGCTGCGCCCGCACAGGACAGCAACCTGGACCGCCTCTTCTCGACGGCCGCCGAGGAGGCTGCAGCGGCCACGGCAGCAGAAGAGCCCGAGGAGGCGGCGGTGGCAGACGCGGCGGTAGAAGAGGCGGCAGAAGCGGCGGCCCAAGAGGCGACGGCGACCAAGGCGGAAGAGGCGAGGGCGGCGGCAGAGCAGGTGGCGGCAGAGCAGGAGGCGGCAGAGCAGGCGGTAAGGCTTGCGGCGGAGGAGGAGGCGGCAGAGAAGGCCCGTGTGGAGGAGTCGGCGGCGGCCGAAGTGGGGCGGCTGCGTATGGAAAAGATTGTGGCGCGGGAAGAGGCGGCCCAAGCGACGGCGGTCGAGGCGGCACAGGTGGAGAAGATACGCTTGGAGGTTGAGGAGGCGGCGCGAGTCAAGGCCGAGACGGCGGCGCGGGAGGAGGCTGCGCAGTTGGCAGCAGCAGAAGCGGCGGCGGCGGAGGAGGAGGCGGCAAGGATGACGGCCGAGAAGGCGGCGGAGGAGGCGGCCGAGGCGGCGGAGAGGGCGGCAGCGGAGGCGGAGGCGGAGAGGGCGGAGGCGGAGAGGGTGGCAGCGGTGGAGAAGGCGGAGGTGGAGAGGTTGGCAGAGGAGGCTGCGGCGGCAGTGGAGGAGAGGGCGGCGGCGGAGAAGGCGGAGGCGGAGAGGTTGGCAGAGGAGGCTGCGGCGGCAGTGGAGGAGAGGGCGGCGGCGGAGAGGTTGGCAGAGGAGGCTGCGGCGGCAGCGGAGGAAAGGGCGGCGAGGGCTGTGGCGCTGGCGAGGGAGGAGGCGGTAGCAGAGATGAATGCGCTAGCACAGGCAGCACGGGAGGCGGCAGCGGCGAGGGCGGCGGAGCAAGCCACGGCCGCCGCTGCTGCCGCCGAGATGGAGGCGGCATTCGCTGGGGCGGAGGCGGCAAGGGAGGCGGCGGCGGCGGCAGCGGCGGAGGCCGAGGTGGCGCGATCCGGCCGAGGCTGCGAGGGAGAGGGGATTCGCCTTCTGGACCGTCCAGCACCCTTCCTCTAGGCGGCACGGTCCGAGGCCGAGGCTGCGCGGTCTGCGGCGGAGGAGCGGGCGAGCGGGCTCGAGGAGGCGCTTCGACAGTCGGAGAGGCGCGGGACACTTCCGAGACTTTTCCAAGACTTTTCCGAGTCTCTTCCGAGACCCTTCCGAGACCCTTCCGAGTCTCTTCCGAGTCACTTCCGAGGCACGTCCATGGCACCTCGCGCAGGCGCGCCGCGCTGCTGCAGCAGCAGAAGCAGCGCCTGCTGCAGCGACTCGAGAAGGCGTGCGAGCGAGGGGCGACCCCGCTGGTCGATTTCTTTTTGGAGCGCTTGTTTCTTTTTATAGGCGTCCGAGCGAGGGGCAACCCCGGGCGCGACGCTCGGCACGGCGACACCGCCGAGTGTGCAACACGTTGCAAGTACAGCTGGGGCTTCTGGAAAGAATGGCAATGCAGCGCGTGCCTCCACCTCCTCTGCCAGTGCGGCGCCGGAGGCTTCGCCCGAGGAGGGGAGGGGAGGCGCGAGCGCCGAGTCACCTCTCGACGGGGCGGGAGCAGCGGCGGCAGCGGCAGCATCGCAGCTGGTTGGGCAGTGGCCGGAGGCTTCGCCCGCCGCCGCGAGCACCGGCGGTGTCGGCCCGACGCGTGTTTCTGCTCTGGGCGCGGCCCCGCCCGCCGGCGAGGCTGCGGAGGAGGTGCAGGGTCGGCTGGCCGCGGTCTGCTCGGCGGTGGAGGCGCACGCAGCGAGCGCGGAGGGCTGGGCGGCAGAGTGCGCGGCGTTGCGCCGCCGCTGCGAGAGCGCCGAGGAGGGGGCGCGCGCGGCGCTCGCTCTGTTGGCCGCCACGCAGCGGGTGGCGGCCGCCATCGCGGCGGAGAGCCTTCGCGGCAGAACCGAGGGGGGCGCCGACGCGGCGGAGGGGGGCGTCGCCGACCACCCCGCTGCCGACCTCAGCCCGCGCGAGCACCGCAGCCTGAACGGCTCGCGTGAGCCGCCCGGCGCGGAGTGGAGTCCGGCGGCGGCGCCCCACCGAGCCGGCCGGTGCTCTTCTTCTTTTTCTCACGGCGCGAGGCGCGCCTCGCTTGTAGGTGGCGACCCCCGCGCACGGCGCCCGCGCGGGTTCGTCCGGGGGCTCGGACGGGGTGCCCTCTTGGCTCGCGGGCGCCGAGAGGACGCTCCGGGAAGAGGCGATCGTCGCGTGCACCAGCCACCACCACACCCACAGGACCTGGACCCACGTTCACACCCACAGGACCTGGACCCACGTTGGATTCGATAGTATGGAGGTACGGTACTAGGCGAGCGCCGCGTGCGCGCTCCCGTTCTTCAGCTCCGAAGGCCAAGCGGAAGGCGCGCCGTCGAGGAGCGAGCTCATCGCACTCGGGCGCGCGCGCTTCTCGCAGCTGCGCGGGGCGCGCCGAGGCGAGCTCGGGCCGGCGGGGTGAGCACGTGAGCTCTCGCACGCGGTCCTTTTTATCGGAGCAACTACCAACAGGAGAAGTCCAACGACCGACGTCCAACGACCGCAAGTTTTCAGTTCGAACTAACTTTCGTTACGACACATCGGTCTCTCCAACCGGGGGCCCAGCCAGACTCCAGTTTGGTCAGAGTACAGAGACAAAAGAGTCAAGATCCACCCCCCTCCCTCCCCCCTCCCCCCCGGCGACACACACACCCCACCCACCACCCCGCCGCCGCCGCGCCGCCGCCGCCCCGCGCGCACACCCGCCCTGGCCCAGGAGCCCGGACGCAACTGAGTTTGCCAATGGCTGCGCTGCTCGTCTCTGCAAGCCCGATGGGCAGCAACCCCTTCACCTCCACCGTCGTCGCGCTCACGAGCAAGAACTGGCGCGAGCTGGAGAGCTCTCCGTTCCTCTGGCTCGTCAATGTCTGTAGACAGACGTGAGGCTTCTGCGGCCAGCTGACGCCCAAGTGGGAGAAGCTGGCCGGCGAGCTGAAGAACCTGGTCAAGGTGGCCTACTGGGATACCGAGGCGAACGGTGCCACGCCGCCTCTGCTTGGCCAGATCAAAGGCACGCCCACGATCAAGGCGTTTGTGCCGTCTCGGAAGTCGGTCAAGAACGCCAAGAATGTGGAGGAGTACCAGCAGGCGAGGGAGGTCAAGGACCTCGTCCGGTTCGCGACGTCGCGGATGCCAAACTTTGTGGAGCGCGTCAAGACAGCGCAGGAACTTGAGGCGGCGCAGGCAGTCCCTATCTCTCGAGCGCCTACCCTCCCTCTCCCTCTCGCTCTGTCTACCTCTACATCACACACACACACACACACACACACACACACACACACACACACACACACACACACACACACACACACACACACACACACACACACGCACGCACGCACGCACGCACGCACACACACACACACAGACACACACACACACTTCTCTCGCTCTCTCGCTCTCTCGCTCTCTCTCGCTCCCTCCCTCCCTCCCTCCCTCCTTGCGCCCCTCCCTCCCTACTCGACCGCTCTCCATCTGTGTCCTCTGCCTCCCCCCCCCCCCCCACACACACACACCACCCTCGCAGGCGAAGCGGCGCGAGTGGGGCCTGCCGATGGTGCTGATCTTCAGCAGCTCCGGCGCCACCTCCTCGACGCTCAAGGCGCTCAGCACGGCGGACCTTTGTCTCGTCGCGTCTCCACCTCCTCACCCCCCCGCCCCTTCCCCCCCCCCCCCCCGACCTGTCAAGGCGCTGAGCACGGCGTACCGGCGCAGGCTGCTCGTCGTCGAGCACAAGGCGCGGGACTAGCCGAGAGGGGCCGAGAGCAGCCGAGAGGAGCCGAGAGGAGCCGAGAGGAGCCGAGAGGAGCCGAGAGGAGCCCACCTCTGTCGCCGGGTCAAGGCCGAAGGTGTGTCGCTAGAAGGAGCCGAGAGTGGCACGAGATGAGCCCAACCGCTGCCACCCGTCGCATTAGGCGGACAAGGGCTCGTGGCTGTATCCGTACCTGTGGACATCGTCTCTTCACACCTCGGGCTGTGAACAGGCGGGCAAGGGCGGCAGCGAGGTGGCAAGGCGGTTCGGCGTCACGGCGTTCCCGGCGGTCCTCGGCTTCCCCGCCGGGCAGGATGAGCCCGTCGCTTTCGAGAAGAAGCCGACGTACAATATGCTCGACGGCGTCTTCCCCTAGAAGCGGATTGCGTACTCTTGTATCCCAACCAGCGCTCGAGAGGACACGGACTCAATTGTGCTCCGCTGTCGTCCGCTGTATCTCGAACACACCACTGCAAAAGACCGTCTTCCCGCCCCGATGTTGGTGCATTCAGCGCGTAGGCTTCTTCCGCAAGCTCGCCCTCAAGCAGGCGGTGCTGCGGAAGCCAAAGCCGGAGGCGACGGAGGAGTCGCTTGCCCCGCCCGTGCCTGTGAACAGTGTGCTCTTCACAGCTGCCCGCGTGGGACAGGCGCCCAAGGAGGAGCTCTGAGGAGTCCCGGCGCCCCGGCCGCCGCCCGAGGCGGCCGCCCGACACGGGGCCCCGTGCAGCAGATGAAGGGGCGGCGGGCAAAGGCGCCGCGGACGCGGCGCCGCTGCGCCCTGGAGATCGCAGGAGAGCGAGCTGCGCGGCGAACCGTGGCTTGCGGCGCTTAGCAGGCAATGGCATCGGCCAGGAGTTCTTTTGTTTTGCTTCGAAACACTGCTCACTGGGCATCGAGGAGGCTAAAAGAAGCGGTGCGGGGGGTAAAGAAAGAAAGAAAAAGAAACGCAGGGAGGGATGGGAGGACGGCACGCCGCCACCACACAGGGTCAGGGATTTTACCAAGGGGGGTTGGCGGGTGGGAGACCGGCCTGAGGGAGGGTGTAGAGGATGTAGAGTGTAGAGCGCTGTAGAGCTGTAGAGCTGTGTAGAGCGCTGTAGAGCTGTAGAGCTCTACATCCGCCGCGTGACGATGCGCCTGCGTTGTAGAGCGATGTAGAGGCGCTATCCAACGTGAAATCTCTACAACAAACTCGCTCATCATACGAGGCTGATCCGGCCGTGTCCCCAGCACAGCTTTGGCTTCGACGGGCGCCTCCCAGGGTGCCCCGGGCGACCGACTCGAGCGGCATGCGGCTTCGGACAGACCTCGGCCCGGCTCCTGGCGGGTCGCTGAAGCGTCTCAGTCGCTCTCTCTCGGTTGCGCGGTTGCGCGGTTGACGCTTTTTTGGCGCTCACGGCGGGCGGCGAGGCTGGCCTTGAGGTCGCAGCGAGCCGTCCAGACGTCTCACGGTGGCGTCACGCATATCACTCGTGGCGTCGGTCGCCTTGGAGGCGGCGGAGACGTCCAGCGGCGGCGCATTTTGATGGGCACGCCCGGCAGCGCTGCGGGCGAGCGTGCCGCAGGCTGAAGACCTCCCTTGGCGCGGCGCGAGCGGCGCGCACCGCTGCACGAGGGCGCGCGGCGCTGCCGCCGCGATCAGTCGTCACGGCCTGCGCCCGGGCCGGCCGCGCGGTTGGCGTGGCAGCGACCACAGCACATGGTTCGGGGCTTCGGGCGGGCTTCTCGGTATCTTCGGTTCCGCTGCACCGGCGCGTGCGTCCGACCCAGTGAGTCCTGCCGGTGAAGTGTGTGGTGTCCAGCCGCGCGGTGTTGCAGACTACGTCGCGTGGTGTGCTTGTGCGTCGGTAGTCATCGCACGACTCGCAGTCTCGCACTGTGTCCGCACTGCCGGTGCCGGCTGGGTCCGTCGCAGCGCACGCACTCTCCCTGTGGGTCGAGTCGTGGTTTATGCGCGAGTCGTGGTGTGCGAGGATTATTTGACTAACACTCTGATTAATACCCAGCGCGGCGTCTCCCCCTCCTCTCTCGCTCGAGGCACCCGGAGCGAGAGTGTCAAGGACACACACCCATCTCTCTCTCGCGAGCGCACACACACCGACCCCATGTGCCGTGCACGGCCAGCGCTCCCACAGGCGCGGAATGATCCGTCGTGCGCCCCATGTGCGTACGCGCGCAAGTACATGAAGCAGTTATAGCAGTACCCTACGACACACACCGCCAGAGGACAGCGCGTCCAGCGTCCATCGGGGTGGAGGTGCTGCCGCCAGAGCCCAGGTTGGCGAAGCCTTCAACGATCCAC